TAAAATCCCGGTGTGTAAATGTGAGACGTTCACATGTCTGCATCTTCACAATTAGAAACAAGGAAATGAGTTTGGTGACGCATGTCTCAACAAAAAATTTTGAACATTTGTGCAGAATTCATGAGGATATGTAGAATTTGCGTTAATTGTTGCTCTCGCAACTTCCTGGAGGGACTGATTATCTGATTGCAGATAAAAGAAATTCATTTGAGAACGTGCTACTTTATTTCTCCTCCAGCCACCTCTCTGTAGTCACCATTCGGGTCTACCCACAGCATCTGAAATGCCACAAGTAAAAGTAGAATTTTTTTTTTTTTTTACACAATATTAATTTCCTTTGCAGCATTTAATTAAACATATGAAGTGCTCTTATACTTAAGTAAAAGTAGCAACACCACATTGTAAAAATACTCAAAGTTACAAGTAAAAGTACAAAAATATTTTCATTAAAATACACTTAAGTGACCAAAAGTGAAAGTGCAAAATGGCCCATTTCAAAATAATGTATATTATATCATTGGATTATAATTACTGATGCATTAATGTGTTTACCATTTCAATGTCACAGTTGGTGAAAGTGAAGCTATTTTTGCTTACTTTATACTGCTGGGTAGCTTAGCTTAACAGAACCATCTGTTTGAACTATGATTAGTTTTGGTTGAAAGTGAAATGTTAAATTGGCTTTTTAAGGAGATTTTTGTCTTAGCAAGATATATAGAAAATGCTTGTCAATTAAGACAGAAAGCACTGTATCCAAAATAATAGGACAATTTGGTCATGAAAATTGAATCTGATGAAATGTTTTATTTTTTGAATTTGTGGGACTGTAAATTATTATTTATTTTAATAATATATAACACTACAGAAAGGTGCAGGACACCTAAATAAATTTAAATTAAAATCAATTAACTAAATGTATCAAATAAATGTAGTGTAGTAGTGTATAAAGTATAAATGATCATAAAATGTACAAAAATGTAAAGTAAATATACTTTTTTAATATTTAGATACTACAATTTTAATTTCAACAGTTCCAAATATCTTTTCTTAGTTTCTTTGATTACTAATAATCTGTATCCTTTTATCATCTATTATGGGACTGTAACTGCCTTCTGTTCCTCCTGATATCACATTTTGAAAGTTTATCCTCCAGAGATTCTATTCTATACCCCCAACTCCACTACTTCACTGTAAACCCACACCTCCTATTCCAGCCCATGGTTCAACTCAGGCCAGAACAGGGCAGGCCCTGTTTGCCTAGAGTTGGAGTGTACAGGAATAGTAGAGACAGATGGTACCACAAAGCCCAACAGTTTATTTGAAGCCCAGGCTCTGCATAGTCATTAAAGTGTGGTCTCATGGTAGCCTGCGTTTTTGTCTATATCTGCCACAGATGTGGCTGCATTCAGCTCTCTGTCTGTAGTTAAGCGTGTAGATGAAGGGTCAGCCCAGATTCCACACATAGGAGCCCTACATTGTGAATGGGGCCACGGTGCTAGTTTAGCATGTTTCAGACCATTAACATTAAAGTTATTGAAGTTAAGCATAAGTTTAGAGATAGATTTTTATCACCCAGGCCGTGGTTGGTTTTAATTTATTTCAGTAGGGGAAAGGGTGAGACCAGACACTTTTTTAGTTCTGGAGTATTTTAGGATGCTGTGCAGTACTTTAAATTAGTTGTTCCGGGTAAGTCTGCATACCACAGAGAGAGGCTTTGTCATGGGCATCCAACACACTCTGAAAGTTGTCTCCTCTGCAAAATGTAAATTCTAACATATGTTGTGTGGCCTGTTTGCAACTGAGTAAGCTGGGTGATGGGCTGGACTTCAACACCGTGGCTCCAACCTCAATCACTACTGCACAAACTCTGGCTCAGAATGGTGAAAGATGGCAGCTGCCTTATCCAGGATAATTTGGCTTGATCGTGACAGTTATTCAATTCAATTTTATAACAGACGTTATCTCAGGACACTTTTCAAAAAAGAGTAGGTCTAGACCGTTCTCCTTATAACATTATTTACAGAGACCCAACAGTTCCCACCATGAGCAAGCACTTTGCGACGGCAGCGAGGAAAAACTTCCTTTTCAGAAGCAGAAACCTCGGACAGACCCTGGCTCTAGGTGGGTGGCTGTCTGCATCGACCAGTTGCGGTGAAAGAGCGAGAGACAGAGTAATAATAATATAATAGTAATAAATATAATAACAATAATGTCAGTAATACTAGCAATGGGAGTCAAGCAGGACCATGACAGGAGGCACCACCAGGATCCATGAGAACCTGCGAGACAAGAAAGCACAAGAACTCCAGGGATAAAGGGAAGTTAGTAACATGCATTAATGGGACATGAATGAGTGCAGAAAGAGAGGGAGAGGATGAGAGGAACTCAGTGCATAATGGGAAATCCCCCAATAGTCTAGGCCTATAGCAGCATAACTAAGGGATGGTTCAGGACTCATCTGAGCCAGCCCTAACTATAAGCTTTATCAAAGAGGAACGTCTTAAGCCCACTCCTAAATGTGGAGAGGGTGTCTGCCTCCCGAACCACAACTGGAAGCTGGTTCCACAGGAGAGGAGCTTGGTAACTGAAGGCTCTGGCTCCTGTTCTACTTTTAGAGACTATAGGAACCACAAGTAGCCCTGCATTAAGAGAACGCAGTGTTCTGATGGGGGTAATAGGGTACTATGAGCTCTTTAAGATATGAAGCCTGACCATGATGAGCTTTGTAGGTGAGGAGGAGGATTCTATTCAATTCTATTCTATTCTATTCTAATTCTATTCTGAATTTTACAGGGAGCCAGTCCAGAGAAGCTAATGCAGGAGAGATATGATCTCTTTTCCTAGTTCCTGTCAGTACTCGTGCTGCAGCGTTCTGAATTAATTGGAGCGTCTTAATGGACTTATTGGGGCAACCTGATAATAAGGAATTGCAGTAATCCAGCCTAGAAGTAACAAATGCATGGATACGTTTTCTGCATCCGTCTGTGACAGGATGTGTCTACTTTTTGTAATGTTACGTAAATGAAAAAAGGCAGTCCTAGAGGTTTGCTTTATGTGGGAATTAAAGGACATGTCTTGATCAAAGATAACTCCAAGATTTGTGACAGTGGTGCTGGAGGCCAAGGTAATACCATCTAGAGTAACTATATCTTTAGACAGTGAGTCTCGGAGGTGTTTGGGTCCAAGTACAAGAATTTCATTTGTTTCTGAGTTTAGCATCAGAAACTTGCAGCTCATCCAGGATTTTATGTTGTTAAGACATGTTTGTAACATTGCTAACTGATTAATTTCATCAGGCTATAACTGGGTTTCATCTGCATAACAGTGAAAGCTAATGGAGTGATTCCTAATAATATTGCCTAAGGGAAGCATATTTAAAGTGAATAGAATAGGTCCAAGCACAGAACCTTGTGGAACTCCATGACTAACTTTAGTGTTTATGGAGGATTCATCGTTAACATGTACAAACTGAGAATGATCTGATAAATATGACTTAAACCAGTTTAGCGCGGTTCCTTTAATGCCAATTTGATGCTCAAGTCTCTGTAAAAGAATATTATGGTCAATGGTGTCAAATGCGGCACTAAGATCTAATAATACAAGTACAGAGACAAGTCCATTCTCGGAAGCAATTAAAAGGTTGTTATTAACTTTAAACAGTGCTGTCTCTGTGCTGTGATGAACTCCAAATCCTGACTGAAAATCCTCAAATAAGCTGTTGCTATGTAGAAAGTCACACAACTGATTGGTGACTACTCTGTCAAGAATTTTAGAGAGGAAGGGGAGGTTAGAAATGGGTCTATAGTTGATGGCTTTGATGTAGAAATTAGTTAGTAGTAGTTAGTTGATGAAGATCGATAGCAGACAATCTAAATATATATCTGATTTTACCTTTTGTTAAAGTTCCTGAACTTGGAGAGACAGTGATATTTGTTTAGGGCATTTGGTTATTAATTTTTGTCTCTAATAGTAATAATTTTATCATAAAAGAAGCTCATAAAGTCGTTGCTACTGAGGGTTATTGGGATACATGGCTCAATAGAGGTGTGACTCTCTGTCAGCCTGGCTACAGTGCTGAAGAGGAACCTGGGGTATTTTGTGCTACTTACTGGAGTTTGTTTTAATTTTCATCAGGTTTTTATGTTTAATTCCTCTTGTTTTTATTTCTTTAAATAATTTAGGTGGTCGGGGGACAGACATGGTCTCTATGGGGTTTTGGGTGGGGGACTGTTCTAATGGAAGCGCAGAGAAGTTTGTCAGACAGCAGCTCTGCTTCCTGGTCCCAACTCTGGATTGTCAGGTTTTAGAAATAAACGTTGTCATATTTCTAGATAAGTGTCTAAGCTATCTTTCATATCTTTTATACTCAACTCCTTTTGCGTTTCAATTGAGCAAGGCGTGCTTGATTACAATCTGCACCGTGCTACTGATGTGTTTATTATTCCAAGTATATGAGGATATTTTAGTCTAAAGGTTTAAACCACCTGGTGGTCATAATGTTATGCAGCCCCATACGCAACACAATGTGATGCACTGTGTGTTCTGACACCTTTCGAGCTACAGTAGCTTGTTTGATTGGACCGCACGGGCCAGCCTTCACTTCTCAAGTGCATCAGTGAACCTTGGCCACCCATGACCCTGTCTCTGGTTCATCACTTTCACTTCCTTGGGCTGCTTTTGATAGGTACTGACCACTGCACACCACAAGAGCGGCAGTTTTGGAGATGCTCTGAACTAGTCGTCTAGCCATCACAATTTGGCCCTTGTCCAAATCCTTACGCTGCCCATTCAGGCTTCTAACACATCAACTTGAGGACAAAATGTCCACTTGCTGCCTAATATATCCCACCCACTGACAGGTGCCATGATAACATTCCCCTGTCAGTGGTCATAGTGTTATGGCTGATTATTCCTGCTCAACTTTAAATTGTGTATCAGAAAATTCTCTTGATTAATTGCAAAGAGTTCTCCTTTACGTAGGTTCAATATGTATCTTTCAGATATGGATCTGGGGCTGTCGGCCCACGCTGGTTCCTGTGCCTGTGCAAACTGTTGGAAGCATCAGAGTGGCTGTTGGTGAGGTACCAGGATGCAAGGATGCCCATCACTCAGGACAACGCCCTTAGCATCCTTCCACTACTGGAAGGCTGGCACGGGGCTCAGGCCACAAGATCACAGCAGGACCACAACCTGAATCAGGACAGTTCTGATTACAAGGTAATTCATCCGCTTCAACCCCTTTGTTTCTAATTAAATATCAAATGTCAGCGTATTGCTGCATAACCAAAGACATTTTTGTGGAAGAGAGTGAGCACAGTGAGCATTCCTAAAGAAAAAGCAAGACTAAAAGTAAAGTATTCTTTGTAAAAACAGAAGGTATTCTCTTTTTCTGTTACTGCCCCTTAAACAACTGGCCGGGCCAGGGTCGCTTACGTTTCCCGACTACATCAACTTACCCTAACCCTAACCCTCATCTCCAGTTCCATATTTTTATTCTAGGACTCCAGTAAGCCAAGACTGCATGATTCACAGTTAAATTAAATCTTTATTTATCTTATATTGGCCCTTTATGCAGTCCCTAAGTTCATCCTCTGTCTGAAAAAGTTGCTTTAGCTCCTGTTTTAAGGCCCCCCTTCGCTAATAGCCAATTGGCCAATGTCCGGAAGCCTGCAGCAATCAGTGGTTGTGACTTTAATTTAGATTTTGACAAAATCCTCTGACTAGCAACAGATATTTAGTTATTGATCACAATAAAGCAAGGCCAAGCTTAAACGTGATACTGAAAATTGGTGAATAGTTAATTAACCATCACCTAATGTCTATATGGTATATGTGATGATCTACATGAATTTTTGGCCCCTAATTTTGAAATACTTGTATCATTATGAAAGAGTAAACCCTGTATTTAAGCCAGAGCAGTCTTAAGCCTGGGTTTGTGCTCACTGGGGTTACTTTTACATACTTTCACCATAATTCATTATGTCTATGGCTCAAACAGCCAACTAACACACAGTGCCAAATTTAAAATCAAATATTAAAACGCAATGTGGTCGCTCACTCACCAGATTCAGTCGTCCTGTCGCAGCACACATCGACTCGATAGGCTAACCTGGGCGCAACAGGTGAACACAAATACGGGAGAAGTAACGGAAATGCTGCTTTCAAGTGCTGCCAGAATAATCAGAAAAATTATTTCGTGTAATATAATATTTAAGTTAATTGCTGTCCATGTAGAGTGACTATAGCACAAACCCTGATAAGTCAATATTTTTGTGGTTTTAGGGAATGTAGGTTACTCATGCAGCAACAAGTCTGGGACAAAATAAAGCTTCAACCGTCTCAGCACGTTTGATAAGGTGAATCTCCACTGGTATGCTATCAATGTCTTTTAAACACTCTGAAAAATATTAAAATACAACACATCTGTTTTGTAGCATCCATGTTGTTCCCACATTATTTCCCACAAAGTCGGAAAAATTACTTCCCAACTCAGGAATGCCGAAACTTCCAATACAAATGAATGCAGCACTGACAGGAAATAAAGAGGCGTGGTCATGACCAAAACTCCAGCTCCAGCCCATTAAACTTAAAAGTTATTCACACATTATATTGCTATCAAATATAAGTATATTCTACTTCGTAGAATTATTAGTTAGATTGTACTTAGTAATTGTAGTTAGTTAGTTAGTTAGTTGTAATTAGTAGAATGTACTTACATTTGATAGTAATGCAATCAAACTTAAATTGATTGAATACATTGTACTTGATTGTTTGATTAGATATGAAATCCGGTCTAACAGCGTGACGGCAGAATTGTGAAGAGACTGTGTTGTGGGTGTGTATTGTCCTTTATGATGTTGTGGGCCCTCCTGATGACCCTGGTTGTGTAGATGTCCTGTAGTGATGGGAAGGCTGCCCCAGAGATGAATTGTGCAGTTTTTATTACATGCTGGAGAGCCTTCCTGTCCTGAGCAGTGCAGCTGCCATGCCAGACTGTAACTGAGCTGGTGATGATGCTCTCGACTGTACATCTATAGAAGTTGCTGAGGATTTTGGTTGACATGCCAAATTTCCTCAGCCTTCTTAAGAAGTAAAGTCTCTGCTGGGCTTTCTTCAGGAGCTGGTGGGTGTGATGAAACCAGGTGAGGTCCTTGCTGATGTGGCTTCCGAGGAATTTAAAGGTTCTAACCCTCTCTACCTCTGTCTCACCGATGTACAGTGGGGTGTGCTGTTCCCTGCTCCCCCTCCTAGGATCAATAATTAATCAATCAATCATCTCCTTTGTCTTGTTTGTGTTCAAGGAGAGATAATTTTCCTGACACCAGGCCACCAGTCCTGCCACTGCTCTTTTTAATGTGTGTCAATGCAGCACTAAGATCTAACATTAGTAGTACAGAGACAAGTCCATTGTCTGATGCAGTTAAAAAGTTGTTAGCAACACTAACCAGTGTTGTCTCTGTGCTGTAATGTACTCTAAATCCTGACTTAAAATCCTTAAGTAAGCTGTTGTTTTGTAGAAAGTCACACAACTGTTTGGTGACTAGACTTTTCTAGAATTTTAGAGAGAAAGGGGAGGTTAGAAATGGGTCTATAGTTGGCTTAAACCCCTCAAGCCCCTTAAGCCCCTCAAGAGTGGGCTTTTTTCAAGCATAGTGACTACTCTCTCCGTCACTAACAAGGCAGTAAGTTAACACTGTTAACTTAGAGCAAATGTATTTATACCATCCACTCCTTTTCCGTCTACCTCATTGAAAAATCCAGAATCTATGAATATTCAAATGTTGTTCATTTCTCAAGTTTTCCTGCTGAACTAAAGATGTCTCCTACTCCCTATACAGTTAATTCTCAGAGTATTGGCACTGGTTTCTAAATCACAGGCCCCACCCCTTAAAATCAGTGAGCCCAGAGAAACTTTACACTTTCACCACATGCATGTGAAAACAAACAATGCACATACATCATTCTGCATAGTGAAGATCAAACACCACACTGTATGAATAAGAAGAAACAATGAGCTTTTACTGGAGGGGACTTTAAATATTTGTAACTGTTGATGTAGACCACTGCATTGGTTAAAATGAAAACATTCTATCAGATAGGTAACAGATTTGAAGAATGTGACTAAAATATGTTCCGTGTTGACACTGCATAATTCCTAAATGTAAATGAGGATATAAACTTGTGATTTTATTGTGGTACAATGAAACAATAAAGGGAGAAACAGAATGTTAATAAACAATGACAAACCATCAATAATGTGTAGGAAAGTTTAGTCATTTTTGTCATTCAGCTTCATTCACTGATTGGTCACTCTTCTTCTTCCAGCATGTGGACTCCAACCAGAATGGAGAAGGGGATAGTGTTTGCAGCAGCAACAGCAGTGTTAACAGTGTTAATATGGAGGACATGTCCCTGTGTCTACCTGCCATTCAGAAGTTGGTGGAATATATTAAGTTCAACTTCATGGAGGGTGACACAGCTCCATCAGCCAACCCCTCTTCCTGCAGGGAGGGGTTGGACGTTGAAGTTCAGGCTGTCTCCCTCAGTAAAGATGAGGGTGATAGCGCTGAGTTTGGCCTCAGCTTTGGAAACATTCCAATTTTTGGGGATCCTGATGGAAGAAAGAAGGGAGGCCCTAGGAGGAGGAGGGATCAGAGCCCCATCATGGATGTGGGCTGCATCTGGGTTACCGAGGTGAAGAAGAGGAGCCCAGCAGCCCGCTGTGGGGGGATCAAACTGAGAGACGAACTGCTGTCACTGAACGGGCAGCTGATGGTGGGAGTAGATGTCAGTGGAGCCAGGTAAGGAAAAAGGACACTGATTGGTCCGTGAACAAAAGCATAGACTAAAGGCTGGAAAGATGGATTTTTGCACGATTGAACTGCCTTGCAGGGGAGTAAAAGTTGAAGTGCATTTGCAAAGCGATCAGTTGTTGTTTATTTAAAAGATTAAACTATCAATACATTAACAGTAAAGTTTTTTTTTGGCCACCCAGCTGCCCACCCATATTACTGTTTATTTACAGTTACAGTTTGACCCAACAATGTCTGTATGTAATGACAACGTTATCTTTTTTTATAGTTACCTGGCTAACCAGTGTTGGAGTGGAGGATGTATCTACCTGATAATGCTGCGGCGAGTCAAGCGAATGGCTCCTCCCCGTCCCTGTGATGTCAATGGCAGCATCAGTACCCCTGTTGGCAGAGACGGCTGTGAAGAGCGGCAGCAGGGCAGGGCTGCCTCCGAGTCCTCCAACAGCTCGGCAAACTGCAAACGCACACGCAAGTTTGGTGTCATATCGCGGTCATCTTTTAACCGAGACACCCGGGACAGTACTGACTCAGAACTCCCGAGCTGTTACAACAGCTACGACTCTTCTGTTCCCACTGAGGCAGGGGTCAGTCCTGCAGTAGATGACTCAGGTTGCATCCTCTCCACACATACGCCCACAGAGGAAAGCCCAAATGCCTTTCCTCAGGGGAGAACTGTTCCCCAGTGTCTACACAGAGGAGGCACCGCCACCCTGCTCACAAGATGTCACAGTCAGCTTTTAGAATCCAAAATTGATTCTTTCAGCAGTGAACCTTCAAACCAGGTAAGATGCTGCTGACATACAGGGCTCTGACGGAATACACCGGGACAAGTGAAGGGTCATACTCTCTCACAAACCTTTGTTCTGAAGACAAGGGGTTTCATTCTGAATTGAGATAAATTATTTCAGGTGAATAAAATTTTCATAAAATTGAACAGTAAAATGCATTCAGTCAAGAAAAGAGATGTGGGTATGTTAAAAATCACTCGATTAATTTCCTTCTAGTTCAAACCTAGTTAACGATGCTCATTACTCAAGTGTTTAGACAGAATTAGTAAGTAGTCTTCAGTAGTTGGTATAACAATCTGAACTCACTCAGGCACCCCATTTACACCTGATCTGTATCCAGATAAGAAAACATGCATGTTAATGCGAGGTGTAAATGCGTTGTCTTTAGCTAACATAAAATAGTTGCTCTAATCTAGAGAGCGAGCAAGTGAGAAGGCTGAAAGAGACACACCTCTGATTAATGCTTAAATGTCTATTCTGTGCCATGAAATCACCAAAGATGTGTTATTCAACAGAACTGTGTGAAAAATTAGAAGGACAACTACACACCAGTACTGCAACACACCAAGACAAGCTGACACAATCTTTTTTATACAAGTAAAGAAATAACTTTTTACATTTGCAGAGTTTACAAGAGAGGACAAATAACTCATAATTTGTTGTAGACAGCGTTTCCCCTAACTCAAAAACTCCCAAAACTCCCACAAGTTTTGTCCAGAAGACAGAGATCAAGTCTCAATGAAGATCATGATAATGCATTGAAAATACCAGGTGTAAATGCAAAGGCAAGATTTGATCATTCATTATCTGGAGAATGTGTCCAGATGTGTCTCTATTACAATTTCAAACAGGTCACTTCTAGGGATGAACCAAAGCATTATCTAATTCTGCAGAGGTTGTTGGATAGTGTACAGAGCTCAGGACTTTGACCCCAGAGATCAGAGATCCTGTCCTCGCATGCAGCTATATTTATACTACTAAAATGCTTGGTTAATATTTAGGAGAGATTTTGGTTTCAGTTTTTCATTTTCAGTTTTTTTCTTCTTTTTTCTGGTTTTAAACAGAAACCTAAAACCAATAGTGATGTTTTAGTTTCCAGGAGTAGATATTGTGAGAAATCAAGTGAAATACATTGACAGTGAACGTTTTCCAGAGATGAGAGAGAAGAGTTTCTATTTCTATATATATTTCTTTGCAATCCTTTTCATCACATCTAATGCCAAGGAAAATAAAATGACGTTGCAGGAAACAAATAACTTTAAAGGTACAGAGATGTACGGTACTGCACAACAAACTGCAACAAACATTTGACTGCCACTAAGTTGCAAATAAGCACACCACATGAAAATGAAATGAAAGTAGACATTCTGCAACAATGTAAATTGGAACATACACAATATATCCTGGCAGAGTATTCCAACATCTAGGAGCATAATAAATGCAGCATTACCAACTGTTGATTTAACTTGAAGCAACGTTCCTTTCTTAGGCCTAAGAAGACAGGCACAACAGATGTACAGTACTGTGGTGAAAGATTTTTCCCACAATGGAAACAGGAAAGTAACAGGTCCCCAATGGGAGATCTTGGAAGTCATGTGATCAATTTGTGTCTTTCTACTCTGACTGACCACCAATAACAGCAGTCTCTGCTGCAGACAGTTGTGGGACATCCAGCTACTTTTTATTTATTTATTAGTATTTATGGCATGATTATTACAGATTTTATCTAAAGACACAGTCAAGACAAGAACTGTATGTAATCTGACTTTCCACTTCCCCCTCCGTAAAGTTACACAGTTGTGCAGCATAATAAGCAGTACAGTTATAAATATGAAGTCTTTCAAAATATATAATCATGTAGTAGTATAGAAGTATAAAGCATATGTCCAAGATCCTGCCCGGAGGGGAGTGTCTTCCAGGGCGGCAGGGGTCGGCCACAATCTTTCCTGTTCACCTCAGAGTCCTGAAGGCGTACAGGTCTGGAAGGGTGCCACATTGCAGCCAGAGGGGAAAGTACACAGCCTTCAGGAGATCTGGTGCTGATGGTCCTCCCCAGTAGTTCTCCTGAGAATAGAAAGAGAGAGAGGCAGACTTAACAATCATCCGCCATCATAATCCAAAAGCATATGCTTCCCCTTCCATCAATTGAGTTGACAAATGCATTTTTAAAAGAGAAGATAAAACTATACGTGACCCATCCCACCCTGCTCATTATGTTCATTATGTGTTTCAACCTCTGCAATCGGGTCTCGTCCACCAAAACAATTTGCTTTAAGAACAGCTTTTTCTCTGCTGCAATAAGAACTCTTAAGAATTATTCATGTCTAACTCTTGCATCTTGTGGTACGTGCAGCTCTTCATTGTTCAACCCCATTGACTTTTATTTAGTGACAGTATGTAGTTAGTGGACAGAGCTTCCGGGTCTGTGAAGTGAAACCATCATAAAAGTGTCTTAAACCTGCATTATTTCTAATAGCAGCAGGGGCAGCTCCATGAGCTACGAGTAGATCTGAGTCTGATTGAGTCTTATGGAGAAATGACCCTACTTCTGATTCGACTTATTAGCTCAGTTAAAAGTTTCCTAATGCATTTATGGTCTCAATCTCTAGTTTCTAGTTTCAGCATGATGTTAATTTAGTAAATTATGGTCCAATTTAGATTGAAACAGAGGATAAAGCAGGGTATGCTTTAGGGTGTGGCTACCTGATAATTGACAGCTCATTCTCAGTGAGTCCGTCCAGCGCAACGGACCAAACTCAGATCAAACTGTCAAACTAGGCAGTGCTGATCAAATATGAATTAAGATTCTGTTACTGTGTTGACTATTTCTCTCATCAAATATTTTCACAAACATATTTTAGTGTGTTGTTTAGCTGTAATATGAGATTGTGTGTGACCAGGGAAGCCAGCATTGTTTCCTGCTACGGACGAGTCAAAACTAAGCGCAGCCAATGCGAGCAGCTCAACAAGTAGTACGTCACCGCTGCTGGTCGCAAAAAAGCAACATGCTATATTGCCAACTCGAGGCATCAAAATGGTACTCCACCAACCACTGGGTGATGTCACAATAGGTTGACACTGGCTTTTATTTGGTGATTATTGAAGGTAGACTGAAGACTAGAGTCCCTACAAACAGTGACAACTAGAGATTAAACTGAGACAGCTGTTTGAACACATGAGTGGACCTCATCTATACGCCAGCTGTATGAAAGGGGCGATAGTTTTACTTCAAGCTTGAATGACTAGTGATGCATTCATCCCATCAGTGTGGTGGTTGATGAATATCATGTTAATAAACTAAAAAGTGTTTCAATAGAGATTGGTGTAGAGCTCTGGAAACCAAAATGATGATGGAAAAAGTCACCACTGAGATTAACAGTCATCATACCACTTCGTCAAATACATAGAAAATGCCTGCAATAATTAACAAAATAAGAATTTCAGTTTCAAGGTTTTACATTTTCGGTTCCCTGGTGCAGGTCCAGCAGCCAGGTGTTCAGTGGTCCGATATGTGTACAGATGTTTGAGAGGATAAATAGGATCACTGCCCTGCAACAACTGGTGTGAGGAAACCAGAGAGAGTGATGGGATAGTGGTTTCACATGTGGGTCAGAGGATTGAGACAGACAACTGGTGCTTCGTCCCAGCACATCAAAGGGATTGTATGAAGAATAATGTCTGTAGCCCTCATGTCGGTGCCCTAGATGGAGATGACCTCTGTTACCTTCTAGGCCCACAAGTTGCTAAAATGATCATGGATGCGGTAGAAAAGTTTTTACAATTCATCATGATTGCATGGCAAACCACCCAGTGGTTATTGAGACATTTCACTCTAAACCACAAATGTTAACCTGGTGGTGGCGCTATTGACAGGGGGGCCAAATTCCCAATTTCCCCAAAGTCATGAATATATATATCAGATTTCATTGCAAGTCAAGATATTTCACTAAAAAAACAACATGAAATCCAGACATGGGATCACCAAAGTCAGTGGGATTCATTCATAAATGGACCATAAATGTCTGTACATACATGTACAACAACACATTGTCACATGTATTCCACTGAGCAGACAAAAAACAGAGTCAATCAAGGCTCAGTAGCAATAAACTGATACAGGCATCTTTAGAAGAATAAAAGTTCTGTCCCTTTCCCATTAGTTACCACATAATAGAGTTGTTCAAGGACACTTCAGCTGATACTTCTGTGAGCATTGAAGGCAAAATCTGAGGCTTTATTTAGAGATTGAATAGATTTCACACTTTGCAGCTTCCTATTGACCCTTCCTAAGCCCCTTTTTGCTCTGTGCTCCAATAACAGTTGAGCAAGCCTCAGTCTGAACCTCAGTGAACTTTCTCCTTTCCTGTATGCCCCCTTTTTTTTTTTTTTTACCAGGGTGGCAAAGTCATGAGCCGCCCTACTCTGCCTCTGATTGGCTAGTGCTCATTGCTTTCAGTGAGTGTCAGGGTGAGCCAATCAGAAACAGAGCAGGTGCTTCTGGGACTCCAGCCTGACTGATATGGGTTTTTTTTAGAGTGATACCAATTCACAGGGAAAAATTCACAGATTATCCACATGCCGATATAGTGGATTTTTTAGCTAAAATTATTTCCGTTATTGCCCGATAATGTATGCTTATCGCTTGAACAGAATTAGTAATGCTTTTTACGCCAAATTCCAACCATATTTTTCAGCCTTTTTTTTGGGTGGCAAGAGTGGAAATTCGTCACCCTCAACATTTATTATTTTTATGGTTTCATAAATAAAGACAGTGGGCATAGAGAACAATTAGATACAAAAACGAATCTCAAATCATTTTTAGGCATTCTTGTTTATTATGCCCACTGGCTTGAAAAAATAGTGCATTTAGCTGCTGTAAATGGGGGGAAAAAAATTACCCAGTGGGAACATGCTCCCAGACCTCCCTAGGTTTGTGCATCTATATTAAAAGACAACCAAATCTGGAAGATGGTTAAAAGATAAAAATGACCCATATATAACTTATATACAGAAAGTTACCTAACCTTTTGCTTACATTTGCTAATTTAAGATGTGTCTATATATGACTCTTGGCACTGTTTAATCCTGCATTCATATGTACTAACAAATTTGCCAAATTTTGACTAAATCAGTTATGGTCAGATTGTTGATATGTTTGTTTTTTTTCAGCTTCATGGTCCTATCATATCACCATGGTATTATATTTAAATCAACCGTGTAATGTTTTGTTTGATGTATGTTTGTTTTTGCTCATTTGTAGCACAGAGAGGGCAACCACATCTGGAAGATGCATATGGTGAAGGGTCAGGAGGGCCTAGGCCTACAGATAACAGGGGGGCGTGGCTCCAAGCGCTCTCCTCACGGCATCATTATAGCGCATGTAGAAGAGGGGGGTGCTATTCACAGGTACATTTAATAAAGTCAGGAAAAATGTTTGCTTTGGTGTTGTGTGTTTGTAGCTAATATTCCATTATCTCTATCCCAGCTCCCTAGTTAATGTTTAAAATACTGTTAAGGTTTACAGTGGAGGCCTCCCCACTAGTGATGAGTGAGTACACCATTATCTATATCTGTATCCATACTCAAAATGGGAGGGATTTAAACTGGAAGTTGTTAATTTAAGCCTGAAATTGATATGGGTTGACAAAACTATTCACAGATAGCCTTATAATGAGCAATGTTTTCGATCACTAGAGTACTATTTACAGATTTTTTTTTTATAAAAGTTGCTATATTTAAGTACAGCTATTGGCACATTTACTCATCTGATACTCGTTCTTGTAAAAAGTAAATTGCCTCTACCGGATACTTGTTTCAGTCAAGCTCAACTCTACTTCCTACTGTACAATAATAATATGTGCTCTGATTGATGGAATTATTAAGTGTTTCAAAAACATTTCTTTAACATAATTGTTTCTTCTCACTGATTCTTTTTTTCCCAAACATTTATTATGAAGGATTTTGCTTTTTCAGTAATTCACTGCTTTATGATCATAACCTTACTATATATGAACTACATATGTTTGTCTACATTTATCTATAACCAACCAGCTGTTCACATTTAGTTGCCTTACAGTAAAGTGAACCTTACATACTGTAGCACATGGTCCTAATTATTTTTCCCTCAGTAAGAAGCTTATGTTTTAAGTCTTATTATTTAGTCTGTTTGCTTTTTGGAAAGTGGAATATCTCAAAACGTGTACAGATTATGATTAAATTTGGTGTAAAGTTTTTAGCGTTGATGCAATATTTTCATACTTAAGCTGCTACACTTCTTTGAATCAGATACATCTGGAAGTTGTGTCACATGATTGTCTCTCTATATTCAGTCCAGAATTATAAAGAATTGAAAAGTGCAGCCTTGATGGAAGTATGCCCTCTCTGAATGCTAGGTCTGATACAATATGTGACAGTTCAGGCACCTGAGGTGGTGGAGATGAGTTCAGCTTTAGTTTGTGATGTACAGTCAGTGTTTGTGTCTCAATGTGTGTATGTTTCAGGGACGGTCGTCTACACGCTGGTGACGAGCTGCTGATGATTAATGGTCAGTCTCTGGTGGGTCTCACTCATCAGGAGGCTGTTGCTATCCTCCGCTCCACTTCTGGTCTCATCCAGCTGGTGGTGGCCAGCAGGGTAAGTGCACATGCACGCACGCACACACACACACAGACACACACACACACACACACACACACACACACACACACACACACACACACACACACAGAGACAAAACTGCTGCCTTTTCAAAATAAATGTCTTTTCCAAACTAGATATTAACAAAGTAGTAAATAACAGCATGAATGAGAGGCCCTGTTCAGACCTGGTATTAACATGCGTCTTGGGGGATCCAAACACAAGTGGACAGCTCTAACTACATCAGTTTACACCTGGCATTAGAATGAGTCTCCACATGCATCTCAAGTGACCACTTGTGATCGGATCTCACTCCCCTGTTCTATGAAAATAAACATGTTCATATTTCGTTTAGCAAAGATCAAATGAGTTGTTTTTATAGGCGCTATGATAAATCACAGAGGTTTAACTGTATTAGTGTAACCAATACATTTTAATTATCAAAGTTTATAATTATCAAAATATAATAGAAAATTATTTTAATTAATATTGAAGTTCCTCAGCGCACCACCCTTATATAAGAGAAATAATAGCCAATAATTGATTGATCGGTCTCATAGTCTCTAAACTATTAATTTAGAAATCGGATTAATAATTAAATTAATAACTTATAATAGTTCTAGTAAAAGGATTTGGAGTTCTGCATGGAAGAGGCTGGTATAACCCACTCTTGTAGGAAATTAAATAGGCCAGCATGTATAAACATAAGCATTTATTAATGAGATATAATAAAAGCTAACAGAGGAAAATACACAATGTAGAATCTAATTTAAAGAAACTAAGTAAGAGGAAATAAATAAATACTAACAACATAACCTGAATAAAAACACATCAGTACAACCTTAACAGTAATTTAACAGTGCTTGCTTAGCCGTTATTTCTGTTAAGTTATCGGAAACTGTCAATGCCTAGTACATTCAATTTTCAATTCAATTAATTTTATTTGTATAGCGCCAATTCATAACAGAAGTTATCTCAGGACACTTTTCAAAATAGAGCACGTATAGACCGTACTTCTTATAACATTATTTACAGAGACCCAACAGTTCCCACAATGAGCAAGCACTTGGCGACGGCGGCAAGGAAAAACTTCCTTTTAAGAGGCAGAAACCTCGGAAAGACCCCAGCTCTAGGTGGGTGGGCGTCTGCCTCGACCAGTTGGGGTGAGAGAGAGAGACAGAGACAGAGAGAGAGATAGATAGAGAGAGACAGAAAGAGAGAGAACACAGGTAACGACAGAAGGACAGAGACAGAGACAAAGGTGCACAGTAGCAACAACTACACTAATAGTAGTGACTGATGGTGATGATGATGAACATGAAGAAGATGATGACGACAATGACAACAACGATGGGGGACAATGAGCAGTGATTATAGTAATAATAGTAACTGTAGTAATAATATAGTGATAATAATAATTAAAGCTGCAAGCAGCGTTGGGCGGGACCTCGCACTCCATGCAACTCGGGGTGTGCTGCGGCCGCGTCACGTGCCGTCGTTACACGTGCAGACCACAACATGAAGATTTCACGTAAATCAGTTCAGAATCGCCACGCAGGGCTTACTTTCTGTTGCCAGAAGGTGGAGCTATCACTATGTCTGAATATTGTCATGTAGACGAGTTCAAGTCAAACACATGAAGTTTCATTGAGATTGGACCATGTACACTCAAGTTGTGAGGACGTGTTACAGAATATGTGACGTTTAGTGGACATGAGTTTATCATGTTAGTTATGAGTACTATCTGTTTCATGGCCAATCGGCGGAATTCAACACGTCATCATGGGCAGGCGTTTCGATATATACAGTCACAAATAGCACAACTTTTGATCAGCAGTATTTTTTTACTTTATTGACCAATTTTGAAGTTGATCCGATAAATTCCCTAGTAGGAGTTTGTTCAAATACAATGAAAAAAAACGCTGAAAGTGCGAAGTGCCAGAAATGGCACCACAGTTTGACATTCAGTTCAACCTAATCAAATTTGATGGCGCGCCATGGACACGCCCTTCAACGTACGTGTACAAATAGCACAAATTTTAATCAGCACTATACTGTAACTGTACTGACCAATTTTGAAGCAGAGCCGATGAATTCCCTAGGGGGAGTTCGTTAAAATACAACACGAAAAATCAAAGAAAAAGGCTGCAAAATTCAACGTGGCCAACTTTGACGGCACGCAATACCATAATAGTTTTTTTTTATTTTAATTTTTTATTATAAATTATAAAAATTCTTTAATTTTCTCAAAAAAAAACAAAAAAAAAAAAAAAAAAAAAAATTAAAGCCAACTTTGACGGCACGCTACCGACAAGCCCTTCAACGTACATGCACAAATAGCACAACTTTTAATTAGCACCTTTTTTTGACTGAACTGACCAATTTTGAAGTAGATCCGATCGTTCAAATACAACCCAAAAAATCACCGAAAAAGGCTGCAAAATTCAACGTGGCCAACTTTGACGGCACGCCACGGACACGCCCTTTAATGTACATGCACAAATAGCAAAACTTTTAATCAGCACCATTTTTTGACTGTACTGACCAATTTTAAAGTAGATCTGATAAATTCCCTAGGAGGAGTTTGTTCAAATACAACGCGAAAAGGTCGCCGAAAGTGAAAATCAAAATCAAAATGTCCGACTTCCCATGGGGTTTGGGGTATGGGTCCAAGAGGCTTTTTTTTAGGTCTCAGAACGTTGCACTTGCCTACTAAGTTTCGTACATATCGGTGAAACGTGGCGCCGGGGCTGCTTTTTTTTATCCTGTAGGGGGATAAGCATCGTACCAAGTTTCATTTAAATCACATGTGCCAATGCGGAGATATAAACTTCTTCATTTTAAAGAGCACTACCTAGTGGTGATGGCCTGAAATTGTGCACGATGCCTAAGGAAGACATGAGGAACTATGGACCCAAGCTTGGTGTCAATCGGACATACCAATGTGGAGAAATGGTCCACTTCCTTTTTGACAAAAAATCCACAGGAAGTGCTAATTTTATTACGTGCTCATTTTTTGAAATATCAAAATTCTTTGAATTACTTTTTTATAAGGACAGTCCCCAGGTGCTACGTGAAAAATGTTGTGCGAATCGGACAAAGCACATAGGAGGAACATGAAAAAGTAGTTTATGGAAATTTTGCGCTCTAGAAAAAACAAATTATAGGTGAAAGTGGGCGAGGGGAGATATGGGGGAGATCCAGCTCCATTTACCGAACGTGGGGATATAAGGTTTTTGTATGTGCGACAAACTATGCAGAAGTTATTAGCCTAAATGTATTTGTTATGATAGTAGTGCCACCTAGTGGCCAACCCAAAAGCGATGGATAGAATATCCCCATTTTCACCAGGCCTGACAAGTTTGCCAAATAAAATTGACTTTTCGTATATGTTCAGGGGGGCAAAAATGCAGTCAAAGGGGGCTAAAAATGATAATAGGTAAGAAGAAGAAACATAGCAAATACAATAGGGACCTCCAGCAGTCGCTGGCTTGGTCCCTAATAATAACAATTAAAGCTGCAAGCAGTGATGAACGGGATCTCGGGATCTGTCGGGGCGTGCTGCGGCTGCGTCACGTGCCGTCGGGGTGTGCTGCGGCCACGTCACGTGCCGTCGTAACAAGTGCGGACCACAACATGAAAATGTCACGTAAATCAGCTCAAAATTGCCACGCAGCACTTACTTCCTGTTGCCACTAGGTGGCGCTATCACTATGTGTTCAGGGCGGGACTCTTATCAGACATGTGAAGTTTCGTTGCAGTTGGATCATGTATGCAGAAGTTATGACGAATCCCTCTTTTTATGGCGAAGGATCGAAATTGGATGCCACGGGACACCACACCACGGGCAGGAGGTTTGACAAAAGCACAACTTTTAATGGTGAATGTGTTTAGATGGCTGTGTCCAAATCTGAAGTCGGTCCAATAAATGCCCTAGGAGGAGTTTGTTCAAATACAACGTGTGTAAATGGCCACAAAATCCAAAATGGCCGACTTCCTGTTGGGTTTGAGGTATGGGTCCAAGAGACTTTTTTGCTTCTTTTATCATGATACACATGCGTGGCAATTTTCATACATGTCAGTCATACGTGTCTTGGGGGCTGACTCTGGGGGGCGTGGCTAAGCCATTTTGCGACGCCCATCCACGGGACCAAGACAATACCTCGGCGTTCGGAACCACCGAGGGCTGTGCAAAGTTTCATGAGTTTTCAGGCATGTTTAGACCCCCCAAAAATGTTAATTTTTTTGATTTTCGCCGCGTCGCCATGGAAACATGGTTCCATGCAAATTCTTAAGATTCATAATATGTGATCCTCATCCTCCTAAGGAACTTCTCACATAATTTCAGCTGGATCTGGTCAATATGCTTGAAGATATAAATAAAAGTACAAAAAATAAATTTCCTTTCACCACTAGGTGGTGCTCTCACTATTACTGAATATTATCACATAGGCATGTTCAGGGCAGGACTCTTATCAGACAAGTGAAGTTTGGAGCCGATTGGACAATGTACACTCAAGTTATAGCAAATTCGTGTTTTGTGGCGGTACATCAAAATTTCCCGCCACGCCAAAGACACGCCCACTCACCGCAGTCATCACATATCAACAATGTGTTTTGCATTTTATAAGTACATTTCTGGATCTGATCATCCTGCTAGGAGTAGAATATGAAAATATAAAACGTGATACTTCCTGTTGCCACTAGGTGGCGCTCTCACTATTACTGAACGTTATCACATAGACATGTTCAGGGCGGGACTCTCATCAAATGTGAAGTTTTGTTGCGATCGGATCATGTACGCAGAAGTTATGACAAATCCCTCATTCATGGCGAAGGTTCGAAATATAATAGGCTAGGTTCAGAGAACGCAGTGTTCTAGAGGGTACTATGAGCTCTTTAAGATATGAAGGGGCCTGACCATGAAGAGCTTTATAGGTGAGGAGGAGGATTTTAAATTCTATTCTAAATTTTATAGGGAGCCAGTGCAGAGAAGCTAGTACAGGAGAGATGTGATCTCTTTTTCTAGTTCCTGTCAGTACTCGTGCTGCAGCGTTCTGAATTAATTGTAGCTTCTTAATGGACTTATTGGGGCAGCCTGATAATAAGGAGTTGCAGTAATCCAGCCTAGAAGTAACAAATGCATGGATTAGTTTTTCTGCATCTGTCTGTGACAGGATGTGTCTAATTTTTGTAATATTACGTAAATGAAAGAAGGCAGTCCTAGAGGTTTGCTTTAATTAAATGACAAATCCTGATCAAAGATAACTCCAAGATTCCTGACAGTGGTGCTAGAGGCCAAGGTAATGCCATCTAGAGTAACTATATCTTTAGACAGTGAGTCTCTGAGGTTTTTGGGTACAAGAATTTCGTTTTTTTCTGAGTTTAACATCAGAAAATTGCAGCTTATCCAGGATTTTCAGGAAAATCCTCAAATAAACTATTGTTATGTAAAAAGTCACACAACTCTTTGGCGACTACTTTCTCCAGAATCTTAGAGAGGAAGGGGAGGTTAGAAATCGGTCTATAGTTGGCTAAAAACCCTGGGTCAAGAGTGGGCTTTTTAAGAAGGGGTTTAATTACAGCTACTTTAAAGGACTGTGGTACATATCCTGATAATAAAGAAATATTAATTATATCCAGTAAAGAAGTGCCAATTAAGGGAACAACTTCTTTAAGCAGCCTAGTTGGGATCGGGTCTAATAGACAGGTTGATGGCTTTGTTGAAGAAATTATTGAAGTTAACTGATGAAGATTGATAGCAGATAAACATTCTAAACATATATCTGAGTTTACATTAGTTAAAGTTCCTGAACTTGGAGAGCCAGTGATGGCTGTTGAGGGCATTTCGTAATTAATTTTCTCTCTAATAGTAATAATTTTATCATAAAAGAAGCTCATGAAATCATTGCTACTTAAGGTTATGGGGATATGTGGCTCAATAAAGCTGTGACTCTCTGTCAGCCTGGCTACAGTGCTGAAGAGGAACCTAGGGTTATTCTTATTTTCTTCTATTAGTGCTGAGTAATAGGCTCCTCTGGCATTACGGAGGGCCTTTCTATACATTTTAAGATTATCTTGTCAAATTGAGTGATGTTCTAATAATTTGGAAGAGCGCCATTTCCTTTCAGATTTCCTTGTTTTTTGCTTTAACTGGCGGGTTTGGTGGTTGTACCACGGTGCTTATCTCCTATGATTTCCTTTTTATAGGGGCAATAGAATCTAATGTTGATCGTAGTGAGCCTGCAGCACTATTAACAAGATTATCAATGTCAGAGGGACTAAAGTTGTTATAGGACTCTGTTATATTCAGACATGGCATTGAATTAAATACTGATGGAATCTCCTCCTTAAATTTAGCTACAGCACTGTCAGATAGACATCTGCTGTAGGAAGTTTTGCCTAATGGCTTATAATCTAATAATATGTCATAATCTGATATTAATTCATTCACTAGAACTGCTTTAGAGGACAGAGACCTGATATTTAACAGTCCACATTTCATTCTTTTATTTTGTGCTACTGAGGAGTTTGTTTTAATTTTTATTAGGTTTTTATGTTTAATTCTTCTTGTTTTTATTTCTTTAAATAATTTAGGTGGTCGGGGGACAGACAGAGTCTCTATGGGGTTTTGGGTGGGTGACTGCTCTAATGGAAGTGCAGAGAAGTGTGTAAGACAGCAGCTCTGCATCCTGGTCCCAACTCTGGATTGTCAGGTTTTAGAAATAAACTTAGTCATAGTAGTGCAGTGCCCATAGGAAGTATGTATTGCTATAGAAAATGGGAGGTTAAGTAGCTTTTTCATGGATGGCCAAATGAGGTTGTGTTTGAAGGTGGGACGTCAGGGACATTTAGGTTTGTTGTGAAATGTGTAGATTGATAACTATTGTTTTTTCATATAATTTGTCTTTTAGCAAGGACACTGTAGGGAGATGAACCCCATTCCACTAATGTGAAAGTACCACACCTCATGGTCAGCACATATAAATTCTGAAAGAAGAAAGTGAACTACATCTGAAATGGGATGAAACCTGGCAGCATAAACAGACTAACTTGTAGCATAGCCTAGTAAATGAACTGGGCAGGACATATTATTTAGCCCTGTAATTTTAGCCCAAATATAATCAAAATAAACAGCGTGTTTCTTTGTACGGTCTTTCAGTTCGGCCCAGGACACTTTCACACTAAAAAAGATATGTGGTCAAATGCAGTGCAAATGCAATGAGTATTCTGATCACAATCCACTTGTAATTTGATCTCCCAGGACACATGTTAATACCAGGTGTCAACTGGCTGTAAAATGGTTAGAGTAAAACGAAGCCAAGAATCATAATGCATGTGAAAGAAAAGAGCCATAAAAAAGAATATCTTCCTGTCCCCACAGGAGGAGTCATATGTGGTTTTGGAGCGCTTCCCTTCTACCAGTCTGCCAGACCTAGTCAGCACCTGCAATTCCTCGTCCTCCCTCTCTCAGACTGCTCCCCTCTGCTCATCCCAGACCTCCAACTGCAGCACCAGTACCAACCCCTATGCGGTACACAAAGATAATATGTAGTATTGGTCCATGTGTCTGTTTGTGTGTGTGAGGAGTTTGTCTTTGTACCACTTAAATTAATCTACTCCAATCTACAGCAGCAGCCTGTGTCATGAGGCAGAATTAGTGGCCAACTGGAGGGTAGTTAGTTAAGATTGTGGTGTCAGCAGTTGTGGTCTAGCTCCTTCCGGATGCATGTGGGTCTGACCACGTCTTTACTTCCACTAGAACACCTCCAGGTTACCTCCAGATGGATGCATCATGATCACATACCTGGATCCCCTCAACTGATTCAATACAACAGAGCAGCAACAAAGTGTTTACCTGGCAATACACAATATATTATGTATATTACAGCATTTAAACAGGCCTTGCTGAAAGTGGATGAGAAAGAAAACCTCCTGTACTATTTATGAAAATGAATGAAATAAGTTTTAATACCAGATATCAGACAGTCCGTAGTTGTTTAAGAAGAGATGAACTGCAAATATGTGTGTTTTTGTCCTTACAGTTGACTAACCTGGATAAACTAGAAAAACAAAGTCAGGGGGGGGGGCCCAAAGGATCATGCTGCAGCCCCACACCCACCAAGCTCTGCAGCCGAAACCAGGGTTAGTACTTCGCAGAAATAGCTTGTTCATTTACACCAGAATGTTTTTGTTTTTAGATTTATTTATTATTTAGACTATGCATCTATTCCTGGCATGCACCATAACCTGTTTAACAGTGAAGTCATTGGTACATACAAATACAAAAACTTTTACTGTCCACAATGTGGAAATCAAAGACATTTAATAAAAATACAACTCACAAAACATAAAAACATGCATAAAAGTACAAATCACGATACACAAGTCTACACTACACATAACATGACATTAACATATTGTGCAAAAAACTGCAGCAAAGTCCTGTATCTGTATCCTAGTCTATAGTATCCTACTTTCATTTATCACCTCTTGTACACAGTTTCCAGAATATTTTAGCTCACTGCAAAATCAAGTGCAGGCGTTCTTAAAAATGTGGTCAGTATTTTCCTTGAAGGTGAGACTGCTGTTGATGTGTGTTTAAAATCATCAACTATCTCAACATTTTGCACATTAATCATTATTAGCTGCATTAAATCTTTGGTGTTTTGTATGATGAGCTCTTTTGTCTTACTGACTTAAAAACAATACCATAAAAATTGTATGCATGAGTATGTGTTATTTGAAGTTATTTAGAAAAATCACTACTTCTGTTCGGAGGAATGAAATGATTCTTATTTTTGGCTCAGGGGGGAGCAGTCGTCTGGAGTCAGTGGGTGAGGATGATGAGCTATTTGTGGAGAACGATGTGAGCAGCTGTGAAGTGGCGGAGAAGCCTCCACCTGGCCTACGTAAACACTCCTTACCTCAACAGCTAGATACTGCTGGGGTGAGACAGGTCAGTGAATGCCTTACCTGATTTTTAATCAAGGAGCAAACACATGTACATTGTACCCTGAATTATTTATTTTTAAATAATATCGGAGAAAGATGAGTCAGGCTTCAAACTTAAATAAATAGATAAATAGTTCCAGGAAATATGGAGGCCCGGAAACTAAACTCTGGAACAAAAGTCCCTGTCCTCTGCATCCTGTTTGTTGTTCCATCACATCTGAAGAACCGTGAAGATGAATCAAATTAGTCAGATAACAGATTTCACACATGACGAAACAACAACAGTCACCCAGTTGTTCTTGTGGCATAATTAATGAAGAGGTGGAAAATGAGACTGGAAATACTGTAGTTTTTATCACATACCATACACATTGTTGTTGATAAATTGTAGGAAACCGGTTAATAACATAAAAAAACAAATGCCACAGTTGTTTCTGGTTTGTTCCAAATCCGGTATATACCAGCTTTGGTGAACATTAATTTCCAAAAATGGACAGAGCAAAAAATTGACTTCCTATTTACCCACAACTCAACATCGGACAGATTGTATTAGGGGGGCTTTTTGTTAAGGCTGGACTGTTCCCTTCCCATCCATAATTTATAGCCATTAATCCTTTAGAATATTAGTTTTAAGTGGCAAAATGAGGCACTTTATTTGGTCAGGATAAAATACAAGATGCTAAAAGGACAGAAAAGTTTGGTCCACCAAAAGATAGAGTTGGGTACCGAAACAGGCTGCCAATGTTGCACTGATTCCTATATGAACAGTATCTACCAGACTGAATCGCAACGCAGATGTTGGTGTCTTGTTTCGGTATGTCGAAGAAGAATCATTCAAGTCCAGTTCAGGTTTGCTGTGGTGATGTGAGTTTAATAAAGTATGCCGGCGATCTGAGTCAGTAGGCTGACCCAGAGCAAATTAAATTAGGTACTTTTATACATAGACCAATGATCAGATCAGACCGAATGTGATTACCAATGGAGACAAAGGGCAGGAAAGGTAGGTGTAGGGGTTTGGTCAAGGGGGAAGGAGACAGCAAGAAATACACAATTAGTATTCTATTCTATATCTATTGGTCTAGAGTTGCTCTCTGGTGTGGACGTTAAAGGCAACAGAGACATCACTGCATGTGTGCCGTCATTAGTTAACATTACGGCAACTCTCTCTCTCCACATGGCTCTGGCAGCACCCACCTACCATTAGCTAGTACCTAACATTAGCAAATATTTCTGCAAAATAATTGCTGTAGAATAAAAACTCAAAATGTATGTTGCTGTTATTACTACTGAAACTGTTATCTGTGTTAATTTAATGTAGTTGGGTTTTATGTGAATTTGTTGTGTAAATTCTATAAGTGTTTTGTATTTATTTATATAAATATATTTAAGTATACTTTAAACTGTTTATACTTTAAGTAGTTAATATATTATATATTATTATTATATTATGTCAACTTCAAATTTGCTGTTTTTTAATGTCGTCGACCGTGATTTTGTGAGGTTCAGGCACTGGTTATGCACCATTTTAAAGCATAAGGAAACAAGCTCTGGAAATGTCAAGCATTTGATTTGTGACAGTGTCCTTTAGAGAAACCCAGTTTCCCCACACAGAGATATTCCAAATGGCCAATTTTTTCTGGTGAATGTACATGTGACAAACCTTCCCAAATGTACATATCTGTTTGGAATAACTTTGTATGGAGTTGCTGGGTTTCCCATTTGGACAGAACAGATTTACAAGTAGCTCCATCTGGGTTAAAGCAGGCTTTTCTTGGCTCATTTAACCCTCGAGGCACCTTGGGGGACCAAACGTGTACACGTGTTGTTTGATTCACAATATATCAGTCAGTTTAAAGGCTAATTGTATGAAACTTGGCCAGGATTTGTTTTTTATTATTATTTTTAAAATTCCATGATCCCCTCTATTGTAAGGTGTATAGGATAGGAGATTTGCACCTTTACCTCCAACCTTTCACCTCGGGCCCGACTTGGACACATTGACTCCCATTATAACCACATGTTTTTGATATACTGTAATCTTGACATATTATAATGCTTTTCCCATGAATACCTTAATCTAAGCCACTACCTTCAAAATACAGGGAAAACAGGTTTTAGGTGTGATGACCCCCCCCCAAACCACCAGGGGCCACAGAGCTTCATCACATAAAGTTTCAATGGAGGCCTAGTTCTCTTACCTTGCAAAATGCATGGCAATAAAAAAACTTAACACCATAAAAATGGTCTTGGTATGTTGGGAGAGATATAAAAGAGAGTGTGTGTGTGTGTGTGTGTGTGTGTGTGTGTGTGTGGAGAGAGAGAGAGAGAGAGAGAGAGAGAGAGAGAGAGAGAGAGAGAGAGAGAGAGAGAGAGAGAGAGAGAGAGAGAGAAATTCGAATCAAAGGCCAAATGAGCTGTTTATGTTTTTTCTTGATCAAGAGAGGCCTCCTCTCTTCTATTGGATGCTTGGTATAGGCTGTTTATGCAGGTGCATGTTAGAAGTGTGTGAGAATAGTTGGAATGATAAATGGTTAATGGATCTGTTCTTGTATAGCGCCTTCCTAGTCTTCAGACCATTCAAAGCGCTTTTACCCTCCTGAGACCTGAGCTTTTGGATTAGTAGGACCTGATAGACATAAAAAAAAAAAGCATTGTTTTTGAACAATTTGTAGTTTTCACAAAAAAGTTTGTCCTCATATGAGGAAATCAAGACTTTTTTCTACTATAAAACTATGTTTCCCTGTGTCCTCATATGGGGGATATGAGGACGCAGGGTTGCAGGAGGCTATACTACAGCCAGGTTCCTGCCAGTGCCCTGCAGCTAAGTGGAGGAAGAGGAGGAGGAGGAATTAGAGTTAGAGGCAATGGAGGATGACACCGCTCTATGGAGACCAAAAAAATGGGGAAATCTTATGGTCCCCCACACATGGAGAGTCCCTGCCATTTGCCCAGAGGACCGTCTGCAGCCAGCCTGGTCCTACAAGCCCGAAGCCAGGTCCATGGTCAGGAGGAGGAAGAGGAGGAGGAGGAGGAGCCACAGCCAAGGCCCTCCAGAAAGCAGAGGCAGTGTGTCTTATGCCCACAGTGCAGAAGGGTTTGGACAAAAGTGCGCCAAATGTGGAGCACATGCATGTAAAATGCACCTCAAATCAGTGGTTTATGCCTTGATTGTGAACACAGGCAAAAGACAATACACATGACATCTTATGACAAAAAGGGCATAATAACATAAAAAATATTTTAAAAAAATTTAAAAACTTTATATCTTTGGTTAGGTCTGAAGTTGTTGAAAAGATTTGATGCGGTGAAAGTGAGTTTTTTTTTATATATATATATATATATTTAAAAATATATATATTTTTGTGACACTTTTATGAGGGACCATTTTGGGTCCCCAGGTTCAAACTTGTATGTTCATTTTAAAGGTGCCTAAAGGGTTAAAGAAATATGCTCCATCTGGACGAATAACTGCAGATCTGGACTCAATTGAGACAATGGACAAAAATGGGTCTATGTTGGAACGCTGTCCCTTATGTACAAAAAGGCTTCCCACTGTAGTTGAAGAATAACGGTGGCTAAATGACCCATCAGTGTGGTCGACCCCCAAGTCAACAGAAATTGTCCCAAACATAGAAATGGCAATCTCGGTATTGCCATTGTACACCACAATGACACTGCAGTGACTTCCTGAAAATGGCACAGCCGACATTCAGGAAATAATGCCCTACCACCTGACCTAAACAACTGTCAAGGAACACAAGCACAGAATGTGAAGCAGCCCCAGGTGCTATGGGCTTATCAGTAATCATGTTCCAAGTCACATACTGCATCTAGCTCTTCAGTCTGCAGCACCAACACTGTATAGCACATTGTGGTATCTGAATGAATTTCTGATGAGCAGTTGGAAGAATCAGCATGTGAATGGATGAATGTGCCATGTAGTGTAAAGTGCTTTGAGTGGTCTGAAGACAAGAAAGGTGCCATATAAGTGCAGTCCATTTACCATTTATCATGTAATCTGAGATATTACATTCAAAAGTAGGCTACACGAAACAACATAGGTACATGTGAAGACATCAATGTCAAGGAGAGCTGCACTAAATGCTATGCTAATGAGAGGTTTGCAAAGGAAGTAAAATAGAAACAGGACAGAATCACAGCCTCTTCCTGGCTGTGTGGGTGACACAGGCTTAAGTCATCAAGATACCTAAATTTTTCACCAGCAGCTACAATATCGAACCTTAATGAGATGGCAATACAGGAAAAACAGGAAAACACAAATGTTATCCTAAAGTACGAAAGGGAATAATGGAAATGTGCCTTTAAAATAAACTAGAACTCAGTGAAGAGAAAGGAAAAATTTCATCACATTAATAACTGTGTTGTTTATACAAGATTCAACTGTCTGACTGTTTTTTTTTTCTTTTCATATTCATCTCCCTTTTAGGAATATCAGATAATTAAGAAATCAGCCCGCTCCCTGAGCACCGTTCAAGTGGAGTCTCCATGGCGACTGGCACAGCCGTCCATTATCTCCAGTATAGTGCTGATGAAAGGCCAGGGCAAGGTGAGTGCACTCCTTTGACATGTACTCATGAATAAAGCTCAGAGAATGTACTGTGAATATGTGTACGTAAGCACACAATAACAGATGCGTCCTCCACCATTATACTATAGCCAAAACAAGGTTGATACTGTCATTCCTTTATTATGCACACTTATAGTGTTTTCCCACCAAATTAGTTCTGGTTTTCGAATTGATTGCGTTCAAGATTATTTGAACCTTGGTGCTATCTAGCAAACCAGCCCGCATTTTCACCAGTTTTGTGATCAGACAACTTGGTTGGGAACCCACTTTTGGTGTTCCAAATGGTAAATGGTAAATGGACCTGTACAGCACCTTTCTAGTCTTCCGACCACTCAAAGCACTTTTAAACTACGTGCCACATTCACCCTTTCACATACATTCAAACAGTGATGGCAAAGTCCATCGAACAGAAACTAACATTCATACATATTCACACACCGATGCACGGCATCAGGAGCAATTTGGGGTTCAGTATCTTGCTCAAGGATACTTTGACATGTGGCACCAGGAGCCGGGGATCGAATCCACAACCTTCTGATTAAGGAATGACCCGCTCTGCCTCTGAGCCACAGCCGCCCCTAACCAATCTAGTTTTGGTCAAAATGCTCCAAATGGTTCAAAACTAGGTGCACAAACCGTAATGGAGCTGGTTCCCTGTTGGTGTTTAGGGTTAAGGCCCTATTAGTGTACCATATACAAAACTGTAGCAAAGCTGTTGCTAATATACACCAATCAGCCATAACAAATTTTAGCACTGACCGGTTAAGTGAATAACTGGTTATCATAGGATTAATATGTGGGACATATTTGACAGAAACTGAACATTTTGTCCTAAAAGTTGATGTGTTAGAAGCAGAAAAAATTGGCAGCGTGAGGATTTGAGTGACTTTGACAATGTCCAAATTGTGATGGCTAGACGACTGGGTCAGAGCATCTCCAAAACTGCAGTGCTTGTGGGGTGTTCCTGGTCTGTAGTGGTCAATACCTTTTAAAAGTGGTCCAAAGAAGGAAAAGCACTGACACAGTGCATCACAGGTTGTTGGTATGGGGCTGCATAACAGTATGAACATAATGTTATAGCTGATTGATATATTCTTTAGTGGCATTTCTGCTTTTATTAGATAATTAGATTAAACTAATTTGCTTCACCACCATCAAACAATACTAATATGTTTAGAAAAAATCAAAAACAATGAACACTGATTGCTGTGTCTTTGCTAATCCTGTCTGACATTCATTGAGATCTAACTTTTATAGGGCCTGGGATTTAGTATTGTTGGTGGACAGGACTCAGCACGTGGTCAAATGGGGATTTTTGTCAAAACTATTTTCCCTCATGGAGCTGCAGCAGCTGATGGACGACTGAAAGAGGGTAACCATTCCTTTTCATTCTGCTCTACTGGATTGAGAGAGTATATACTGTAGGAAAGTAAAATGCATATTATGAGAGGAACAGTGATCTTCATTTAAACTTGTGCTAAACAGTCTAATTGTATGCTTCCCTGTGTAGGAGATGAGATTCTGGAAGTGAATGGGGAGTCTCTCCAAGGTCTCACACACCAACAGGCCATCCAGACCTTCAAGGTGGACTGCATGTGCACAATGGGTTCTGTCTAAACAATGTTGTTACAAACAGTTAAATCACACATGGAAAGCTGGAGAAATTCACCTCTACAATATAGAATTTTGAGCTTTTACATTTTTTTAAATGTTTGTCACAAAATATGGTTTTATGTCCTTTTATGCTCACAGTGCTCCCATTTTTAGGTAAAGAGATCAAGGACTTGTTAAAAAGCAGAAAAGAACTCTTTTAATTTATACTTCCATAAAGGTTGCATATATAAAATTAATTTGCCACTAGATGTCACACTAGAGCACCAATTGAATTCAATTTTATTTGTATAGCACCAATTGATAACAGAAGTTATCTCAGGACACTAGAAAGAAAGAAAGAAAGAAAGATTCACTGGGCGTAATGGGATTTTATTGACAAAACCAGTTGTTTTACCTAGCAGATAATCATAAAACACAATTCAGACTGGACAGAAACAAAATGCAACTCACTTAAACTTGGTCAGAGTACACCCGTAATTCACAGAGTTAGAAGAGTTTGTTAAAGTACGTCCACTAAAAGTACTTTCTTTTGCCCCTAACAGACTCAGATTGTCATTCTAAGTGTCTGACAACATTATGTAAAACGTCCCAACAGAGATAGACCTTTTGTTTAACCAGAAATCTAATAATGTTACTGTCTCTCGTGACCAGACTCCACTACCAAATGCAGTTATTTGACCTAAAAAAAAAAAAAAAAAAAATATATATATATAAAAACTTACCAAAACCGTCGTTGTTAGTCTTTCCACTATTCCAACAATCACCAAATCTGGTTTGGCGGAAGTAAATCCTTAAGTCACTGACGTAGATGAAAAAAAACAAGCAGTTTCAGTCGCTCTACTCAATAGGAATAGGAGAGACTGTGACTGCATTATGTACAGTGGGTACGGAAAGTATTCAGACCCCTTTACATTTTTCACTCTTTGCTTCATTGAAGCCATTTGCTAAAATCAAAAAAGTTCATTTTATTTCTCATTATGTACACTCACCACCCCATCTTGACAGAAAAAAAACAGAAATGTAGAAAATTTTTGCAAATTTATTAAAAAAGAAAAACTGAAATATCACATGGTCATAAGTATTCAGACCCTTTGCTCAGTATTGAGTAGAAGCACCCTTTTGAGCTACTACAGCCATGAGTCTTCTTGGGAATGATGCAACAAGTTTTTCACACCTGGATTTGGGGATCCTCTGCCATTCTTCCTTGCAGATCCTCTCCAGTTCTGTCAGGTTGGATGGTGAATGTTGGTGGACAGCCATTTTCAGGTCTCTCCAGAGATGCTCAATTGGGTTTAGGTCAGGGCTCTGGCTGGGCCAGTCAAGAATGGTCACAGAGTTGTTCCGAAGCCACTCCTTTGTTATTTTAGCTGTGTGCTTAGGGTTATTGTCTTGTTGGAAGGCCAACCTTCGGCCCAGTCTGAGGTCCTGAGCACTCTGGAAGAGGTTTTCTTCCAGGATATCTCTGTACTTGGCCGCATTCATCTTTCCTTCAATTGCAACCAGTCGTCCTGTCCCTGCAGCTGAAAAACATCCCCATAGCCTGATGCTGCCACCACCATGTTTCACTGTTGGGATTGTATTGGGCAGGTGATGAGCAGTGCCTGGTTTTCTCCACACATACCGCTTAGAATTAACGCCAAAAAGTTCAATCTTGGTCTCATCAGACCAGAGAATCTTATTTCTCATAGTCTGGGAGTCCTTCATGTGTTTTTTGGCAAACTCTATGCGGGCTTTCATATGTCTTGCACTGAGGAGAGGCTTCCGTCGGGCCACTCTGCAATAAAGCCCTGACTGGTGCAGGGCTGCAGTGATAGTTGACTTTGTGGAACTTTCTCCCATCTCCCTACTGCATCTCTGGAGCTCAGCCATAGTGATCTTTGGGTTCTTCTTTACCTCTCTCACCAAGGCTCTTCTCCCACGATTGCTCAGTTTGGCTGGACGGCCAGGTCTAGGAAGAGTTCTGGTCGTCCCAAACTTCTTCCATTTAAGGATTATGGAGGCCACTGTGCTCTTAGGAACCTTGAGTGCTGCAGAAATTCTTTTGTAACCTTGGCCAGATCTGTGCCTTGCCACAATTCTGTCTCTGAGCTCCTTGGGCAGTTCCTTCGACCTCATGATTCTCATTTGCTCTGACATGCACTGTGAGCTGTAAGGTCTTATATAGACAGGTGTGTGCCTTTCCTAATCAAGTCCAATCAGTTTAATTAAACACAGCTAGACTCCAATGAAGGAGCAGGACCATCTCAAGGAGGATCAGAAGAAATGGACAGCATGTGAGATAAATATGAGTGTCACAGCAAAGGGTCTGAATACTTATGACCATGTGATATTTCAGTTTTTCTTTTTTAATAAATTTGCAAAAATTTCTACATTTCTGTTTTTTTCTGTCAAGATGGGGTGCTGAGTGTACATTAATGAGAAATAAAATGAACTTTTTTTATTTTAGCAAATGGCTGCAATGAAACAAAGAGTGAAAATTTTAAAGGGGTCTGAATACTTTCCGTACCCACTGTATATCTTTATATAGCTGTTTGAGGCTACATAAATGATCTAAATCTCATATATATATATATATATATATATATATATATATATATATATATATATATATATATATATATATAAAACCTTTAACATTGAACCTCATTTATGTTCTTCCAACAGCAACTGAAAAAAGGCGTAGTGACACTGACGATTCGAACTCGTCTGCGTAGTCCCAGCCTGACACCCTGTCCAACCCCCACCCTCCTCAGCCGCTCCAGCTCACCCAACTCCAATACCAGTGGGATGACACCTATCCCCTCTGGGTTTGAAGAGGCTGATGGCCGCAGGGGCCCTGGTCCTGGTCCAAAAGACTGCATCATCATGGAGGTCATGCTTAATAAAGGTTAGCTGACTTGATGGAGAACCCCCTAGAACCCCTTTCCTGACACCAAGAAAAAGAGTAAATCTGTGTTAAATTTCTGAAAGTAAGAATCATTGTGTTTTTGTTACCTTATAATGAGCCTATAGAGGGAGCGGGTCGTCTTCTATAGAGTCTGCCATGTTGAACCGCCATTGTAGAGGCCACTATAGTTTCTCCTACACACTTGTGGCTGAGCTGTATTCAGTTGGTTGCAATCTGCAACTTCTCATGTAATGAAAACACGATTTCTATATTCAGATGACTACACACTAATAAAAACATACCTATGAATATTATTTTCCATTTCTGATCCTCCTAAATGTTACACACTGGACATTTAACATTCTTCATTGGGGCCCAAACGAGGAAACACAGACCTGGACCAAATATATACTCAAGTATGTGGACAGTATGTCTTCGTACTTTAATATATATTTGGTATATAGTGTATCCTTAACCGCTTTTGCAGTTGTAATAATACCCCCTCAAGAATTACATATTTGTCAGCCAGCTGCCATACTATAGTGGGAGGTCTCGTACTATTTTTGCAGTGATGGAATATGGATCTAGAGTGATCACATTAATTTTGATATGACTGTTCACACTGAGGTCACACTGCAAAAACAAATTATACTGTATCTGCAGTGATTGGTAGCTCACTTTTTGAGAACACTGATTTCTGAGAGTGAATTTCGTTTAGTTTTTTTCTTTTCTTTCTTTTAGAGCCCGGTGTAGGTCTTGGGATTGGAGTTTGCTTCTTGACCCTTGAGAACTCTGCTCCTGGCATCTACATTCATAGCCTGGCACTGGGATCTGTTGCGAAGATGGATGGCAGGCTCAGGTAGAAACTTCAGGGTCACCTATGAATTGGGAACTTTGAATGAAGTTAATGTGTAGTTGATGCAAAGACACCAAATGAGCAGCCTACTTTTAAATGAGCTCACTGATTGGAACTTGTATTCATGAATCATTTATTGGTCATATAATGTTGACATATGAATGTATATGTGTGGATTTATGTTGAGGTATGAACAAAGAGGGTTGTTATGCTGACACGTGCTTTCTCTTGCAGTCGTGGAGATCAGATACTGGAGGTGGACTCGGTCAGTCTTCGCCATGCTGCTCTCAGCGAGGCCTATGCCATCCTCAGTGAATGCGGCCCAGGACCAGTCAGTCTCATTATAAGCAGGCACCCCAACCCCAAGGTAAGAGGATGTCTGTTTCTTTAAGATATTCTACATCTATCTAGTATTGTACAAGCCCAGTAATCTGTAGAACAGCCTGAACTATAAGGGGGTCTTTATTCAGAAACACACCAGGAAGTGTCTCATAAGATTAATGTCAAAGAAATCCATGGCCTTGTTTTACATAAAAATAGAGAACCAGCTGCATAGCATGAAGCTGCCACCACACTTTATAGTTGGAATGGTGGGTTTTTGATGGTGAGAGGTTATTGACCAAGTGGCCAGTTTTGGTCAGACCATACTGTGCAAATATATCTTACTGATACTTCTGGAGACATTCAGTGATGTTCCTGGAGTCATTGTGTTTTTCGGGTCAACACTGCTGCGAAAGGACTTTCTTCCACTTTGTTGCAGATTCTCCCATATGCTTTAAAAGATAAGTCCAGAGGTGTGGACTTAAAGTCCAAGTTGAGCAGCAAGTCCTTGTTGATTTGTCAAGTCGAGTCTAAAGTCATAACATTTTTGACTCCAGTCTGACTTAACACCAATAATTCACAACTTTACTAATAATCGGAATATCAAAATCGGATAATCAGCCTGGCCGATAATCTGTCTATCCCTCCAACAGCAACAAAGAAGAAGAAGAAGCGCCTTCGTCTGTTACTTTCTACATATTCACAACATGTCCATATCAACATGTGTATGTGTGTATATACATGTATATGAGGTTTCCTCTCTTTGTACATACATGCAATATTGGTACTCATACATGTAAATGCATGTTCTTATTTTCTGATATGTGCCCTTTATACTTTTAATTATTAGACAATTTCTAAATTTTTAAAATTTAATATTTTCATAAAATGCTTTCATTACTGTTGTGCTGCTGTATAGTGGTTGCCAGGGTAGTGAGCCAGTTGTGATAAAACGGCATCATTGTCTTTTCTCAGGTATCAGAACAGGAGATGGATCACATTATAGCCCGATCCACACACAGGGACAAAATGAGCAAAAACCGACACTCAACTCACTCCCAAGGTCTGATATCTTTACTTACATTTTCCTCTTCTTTCATTCACGCAAGCATTGCTTAAATAGCATGTCTCACTTTACAAGTAAAATGTTTTTTATGCTCTGGGTATCCCATCTGGGTTTGACTGCCACTGTAATCTGTAGGTGTGTCCTGTAAGAGTCCCTACCCAACAGTGAAAGACAGACAGGGAGATGGATCCCCTGCTCTCAGCTGGACCATGAAGAGATTCCTTGAGCCTGCCAGTAGAGTAAGAATTAATTCAGTATTTATGTATTATTACTTCATACAGACACATCACTTGGTTGTTTAATTCTTCTTAACCTGTATATTAGTAATAATCTGTCACACAGGCACTCACTGAGTCATTACTCTAACAAAGTCTGTTTCCTTATTTTATTTCAAAATCAAAAACTGAGAAAACAGTCTTGATTTTCCATTATCAATGATGTTGAAGTAATTGATATAGGTATTTGTATTTTACCTACTCCTTTTTGTTTAAAATATAAAAAAGTCATACATTGGTTTATTTACCAGATGAGGCTTTTTGCCTGTTCTATGAAATCCCAAATATAGACTTTTATGGTCCAAAACAATAACAGCATTCTGAAAAGTTTCTGAAAAAAAGGAGAAACTATGGAAAATTTAATGTAAAGCATTAATATAAATAAATTTACCATTAAATTGTTCTCACTAGTGCTGTCAAATGATTAAAATATTTAATCCCATTAATGTCATAGTTAACCCGCAATTAATCGCAATTAATCCTAATTTTTATCTTTTCTAAATGTCCCTTGATTTCTTTTTGTCCCATTATTTTTTCTCATTTTAATGCTCTTATCAACGTGGAAAAGTGGATCGGCTTGCTTTGTGCAAATGTTGTTTTTATTGAAAAATCATCCATTGTAGCCTGGCTTTGACGAGGGGGCAGAGAATTCGCATCAGCTGTGTGCTTGGCCATCAAGTGGTATTTCAGACTGGACATGCTGCGATGATAGCTCAGTTCACAACGACAAAACACACAGATCACTTTGGTCTTGTCAATGGAACCATTTGGCAACTTTTTAAAAGTAAACTTTCCATTCAGAATATTATTGGCATCCTTTTCGGCGTCTCGCGCTCGCCATCCACTCAAAACGAAACGTCTACTACTATTAAACAAGTGTGTGCGGCGTGCCTGTTGTTTTGTTTCCGGTCTAGCTAGATCCGGTGTGATAAAAAAATTGACGCCGTTAAAATGGGTTTGCGTTAACGCCGTTAATAACGCGTTTAACTGACAGCACTATTTCTCACACTTTGGCTAGGTCCACACTACAAGCCTAAGCGCTCAATTCTGATTCATAGAATTTATGAATTTGGCTCTACACGTTATTTTTGGAATGTGGCCCAGATCAAATACCCTTTCCTGACCATTTTTTCTACTCAGCAATTAAGTTCAGCAATTAATATTCATTGGCTGTTTTGTTTACTTTTACATAGCTTATTGTGGGGAGCTACTTCAAAAATGTGTGGTTGTGGTTTTCATTTTCCTTTTATTTGCTGTGGTCTTTTTCACAATTCTCTAGCAGGGGTCCCTGAGCTCAGAGACAGAGTTATCTCAGTACTTCTCCCAGGACGTTTCCAGCCATTCGTTCCTGTCTGAGTCCATGCTGATGGTCTCCGACAGTGATGAGGCGCTCCACCAGCAGAGCTGCAGCACCTCCACGGATGACAACTCATCACAGCCACATGGTAAAATTTTACTTTTCAATTTTCGAAATTCTAACTACTTCCTTAAACCTAGCTTCAGAGTAAAGTGACTTTGAAACTAATTAACTGAAATGGCAGTCTTGGACATGGATTTAAACCCAGATCCAGAAGGTATATTCGAGTTACTCCAGGACTAAGGATTGACTTAAATTAAACCTCCAAAGACTCAGGTTTAACCTTCGTACACATTTGGACTGGAATAGAAATTATTGTTATTTGTTACCCTGTTAATTGTTGTTACCATATTTCCTTTTTGAATAAACCCTTGCCTTTATCTTATTCACAGCATTCCCCCTTTCTTTACCAGAAGTGGAGAGTGGCCCTGTGTACAACACGTCACAAGAGAAGACCCCTGTCCCTCTCAATCACCACGTAGAGGCAGTGTGCCAGCCCACTGCTGTCTCCAGCCCCACCTTAGCGCGAAGCCCACTTCTCCGTCAGCGACGGATGATTTGCTTTGAGGATGAGCTCAGTGATTATGAATACTCCACAAATGCTGGAAGCTCTGGGCTATTCCACAGGTCAACAAAATCTGACTCTGTGAACTCCAGTGATGCCCAAGCATCCCAAATCTCCAAAACTGATTCAACAGTTGTAATTGCTACATCATCATTAGATGTAGATGGAGACAGTGAAGATGGTGGGGACTTGCAGAAGTGTGAAAGCAATGATGTGACACCACCACTTTATGGTAGTTTATCACAGTGCGAGGAAGGTATCACAAGTAAGTCGGAGTCACATGGTTCTGAGTCACCCTTCATGCCTATTCGTTGCCTTTTTGACCACAAAGCAGGGGTCACAAGCAGTATGGGTTCTGGGTCCAATAATTTGACCATCAATAGTGAAATCTATACAAATCAAGATGATGGTCAGTTGGAGTCAAAGCGCTCCCCTAAGCTTGAGCATAAAGCAGTGACGCGGGTCAAAAGTATGATGAGCACTGAAGCACCCATCCTACCCCAGCAGCAAAAGTCCAAAATTGATGAACCATCTCATGGCTTGGTCCGAATTCAGCCCCCATCCCAGGCCACGCTGTGTGGAAGAAACCCCAGGATTGCTGGTGGGATGTTAACCCATCAGCACTGTCCGAAAGGAGATGCAAGTGAGCTTGTGGGTGTTTGTACCACCGACTCTGTGAACCTGTGGAGAAGAGAGGATGAGTCCTTTGGGCTTGACCTGGAGATCATGTCACCCCCTCTGAAAGTTTTCATCGCGGGATTAAAGCCTGGAGGCGCAGCAGAAAGGGTATGTCTGATTGGTTTCATCTTCATTCCACTCCAGTATCAGTGAATGGATACTTTTGACCTTATGCCAAACCCCTCAGTTTGAATAATCAAAAGAATAAAAAAATAATGCTATTTGGGGCTTGAGCACTGGTAAATTTGCTGCGCACCAAAAGGCTATAGCTGATCTCTTTTGTTTAATCATACTTCCAGGAATCTTCAGGCAAGTTGTGTCCTGGAGATGAGATTGTGAAAATTGGAGAAAATCTGGTGTGCTCCTCTAGCTACCAAGAAATCTGGGAGCTCATGCTTAACCTTCCCATGACACTGTCATTGGAAGTTAAGAGACCAGTTTCAGGTAAGACTTTGATTAGGAATCCCTTTATTCTGGAGTTATAGGTCATTGAACATCAGTGCGGATTCTACTGTTTTGCATTTTACCGTAGGACTCCATTTTTGATCTTTTAAGTAGAACTGAGATGTGGTCCTTTGTGTGAATTGTTTAGTCCTTCTCAACCGGTGTAGCCTAAGGGTCCAGGTTTAGCCTTGGGCCATTTTAAGACTGACAATGTCCAAAGAACACAGCCTCCTCCCAAAATTATTTAAATGAGACCACTGAAATAGCAGAGGTCCTCACGTGGACACCAGCTAAAAAACTTAAAATTGTAAAAGACAATTAAATAAGGCTGAAAGTTAGAATCTTTTCAACATAGAGGGCCCCTGTTCTTGGGGGCTCGCACAGAAAATTCCAATCCTTTGAGGAACAGAGAAAGAGTTGTTTTGTCTGTACTCCATCCACTCCATCTCATTGTGTCCTCTTTGCATTCACAGCTGTACTTAAAGGTGTCAGGTTGTGATCAGATCACCCAAGATGTACGGGAAAACAGGGGCAAACATATTGTTTAGTTGCTTATTGTCCTGCACCTTAGTTTGTTGAACGAGCCATCAACCAAACATTCACAGTTTGCAGGCTAAATAGCTAATTCAGCACTTTCATTAATTATTTTTCACTACAAGAAAGGATGACTAAATGTTATTTCAGTTGGACTTTAAATTTATGGTTTGATGAAGTGTGCAGATGTTATTCTTTTCATCAATGCTGTTTTCCAAAGCCTGGCACCTACATGTGATGGGGTGGTATATAATTACCCTTCTTTTAACTTGTGTTTACAAGCCACTAGTGGTAGATTACTCAGTATGCCTTTAAATAAAGCACCATGTTTTCCCTTTTATGCCAACCTAAGATGTAGGATCCACCCTCCCTCACTCACTTCCCCAAAGCAACGTGCAAGCAACTAGCTTTCTATCCATGGTGACTATCATCATATACAGTATATTTTACCTTTAGTTACCAGTACTAGAATTACCTTGTAGCTTAACTCCCTGCATGCTTTTATAATTCAACTTTAATTTTAATTGATAACTTTATTGTAGAGTAGTGTAAATCTTAATTTAGTGTACCGCAGACATTGCTGTGGATCGCTGTTTCTTGGTCAGTATAAGAGCAGAGTTTTATTCCCATGTCATTATTTGGGAATCTTCTATTGGGGTCTTTCAACATCTACCCATCAACTGCAACATTTGGGGTGGTGGGTGAAAGGATTGATAGGGCAAAAGAAAAATAATAATAATAATAATGTGAAGACCTATTACTCCTGTCAATTTATAATTCTGTAGAGTATAAACAGACGAGTGTTTTAGTCCCTTTATAATCTCGTAATACAAGAGACAGCAATAGAAGTACTACTCAGGTACCTCCAGGAGCAACCACAGCAATGTCTCTAGTTATGGTTTCTAATATAGCAGCTGAATAAAACTAAAATGTGTACCTACATTTTCTGAACTACTCAATTAATTCATTTCTGTCAGTTTTGTGTCCTTGCCGACTTCATCATGTGTGATGCAACGTATAGTATTTGGTTATTCAATATGTAATGCAATGCAATTCAATTTTACAAAAGCAAATAGTTCAATTTCTCATCAGTTCTTGTTCATGATAATAATTTTAATAATATGATTATTTTCATAACTTGTCTTTGCTTGTAGTCATAGCTTTAGTTCACTATAGTTAACATTGATAGGGAAAGAAGATCTCATGTGCCAAAGCTTTCATTTAACTCTACCTGTGATTTGAATTGTGCAGTTGGTTATTGCTCAGCTCTAGGAATATTAATTTATTCAGACTTCAGAAAATACAATCAACCCTCCCTCTGATCTCTCTCTGCTCATATATGTAGTTTATAATAGTATAATATAGAACTACCATATTTGTGTATTTAAATGCTCACCCAGAGCATTTAAATATACAAATATGGTAGTTGCATGGTCTAGAATCTCTTGAGTACTGAAATAATTGTTCAATATGCTATGCTCTACAAGGATCTTCTAAGTGAACATTAAACTGACCAGATCGACATTGCATACCTAAAAAATCATCACCCTGGACATCTTGTATTATTTTGTTCTACAGCATAACCCCTTTGGTAGGCACTACATAGCACAGTACTCCAAAACAAGATAGATCACTGTTTCCCAATGCTTCGCATGGGGTTGAGAGGAAAACTTAAAAAAAATATATACAGTAGGTCTATATCTCATTCAGCATTTCATTCATTTCTGTTAAGAATGTAATTTATTAACTAGATCTAAACTTTGAAGACTTGATGTTCAATTCACAGAGCCTCCACTCTCTCATTAACAACCTTGTCTATTAGAAAAGTATGCAGTCAAAACAATCAAATGGCTAATAGAACAATGGCCAAGTGTCAGGGAGAAGAAAACACTGAATTTGTGTTTTAAGCCGATTAAGTATGTGTGATTGTTACAGAGTCAAAATTCATCCAAATCTTTAACTTGCTGCAGTTATTGTGTTCACTGTTTGGGTTCATTGTACAGTTTATCAGTTGTTCTGTTGTATTGTTATATTATTGTAATTGATTATAATATGAAATATTCATAAAATATTTCACTTAGTCAGGGGTTGTCAGTTAATGATAGAAAAGCAAGGAAAAAGGTTGGGAACCACTGTTACGGATTATATTGTTACAGTTTAAAAGCAGCGTTAACATGGACAAAACATCATGAACTGTCACTATAAATCCTGCACACAGTGTATATAGAAATGTATATAAATGTAATAATCATTCCATGTATATCCTTCATATATTTTGTTTGCACTATACTTTGTATTGTTTACAGCTTACAGAAACACTTGACTTGTATGTAAATATTTTATTTACGTTGCAGGTCATTGGTGCTTTTTATTTATGTTAATATGACTATGTTTATTAATATGTACACCTATTTTTTCACAGACTTATGTACAGGCCTATTCTTTACCTTTATTTGTTCAGCTTTGTTGTTCTTGTTCTTAGCTGATGGCATGTATATAACCTCACAGTGCTACATGATAAAATAGCTATTTTAGCTTTGTGTGTTTGCATGTGTTTTGCAAAAACATGTATATATCATTTCAAATGATTAACCCAATGTCTGTATCTCTCATTCAGTCCTGACTTAACAGCTTACTTTTCATTTCTGATCCCAGCTGTAGATCGACTGTCCAGTTTGACAGTTTCCAGCAGCCTGAACACAGCCAGATATGTTCAAGGAACATCTGATGAAGTAATAAATGCGATTTCATGGCATTCTAACCACACAGCCCAAACAGACCATGACTTTCAAATACCCATTACCAATATAGATGACATTTTATCAGAAGGGAGCCTCTGCCTTGGTAAAGATATACACATCAAATCCCTCTACAAAACATCATCTAACGAGTCAGTATCCTGCTGTTCAAGCCAACAAACTGTAACCATGTCTGAGAAAGCTAGCATTCTGGTTCCAATACAGTCCAGTCCCCTGGACTGTTCCATCTTGCAATCTGGAAATGAAAAATGTGCTGTCCTCCCTGTGGAGACAACCCATGTGAACCAATTAAAGGAAAACAGCTCTTCTGTTTTCAATGGATCCATTCCGCAAAGCCCTAAGACTGCTTCTAAATGTATGTACCCCACAGGAGATGACAGTGATTCAAGCAGTGACTCCATGACTGAAAGCAGTGTGATGGTCAATAAGATGGCCGGCAGTGATAGTCTTCATGAGCCCTCTTCAGATGAGGGAGATGTGGAGATTTGTTCTTGTGTTGCCCAGCAACCTGCTGCTGGTGGACTCTCTGATTTAAACCAGTCACCAAATGGGCCTTCACATTTTCAACATGCCAGCAGTCAAAATACAAACCTGGACCAGACTTTTGATGAGTTGCATGTCTTCTCTGATGTCACACTGACAAAAAATGAAAACACTGTTGCAACAACCCAATGCTCACAGCTCTGTCAGTTATCAGGGGTCTTTTCTACAGAGCAACCAGGCCAGTCTTCGTACGGCACAAAACCTGTGTATTCTATAGAGTACCACATTCAAAGTGTTATTCCATCCTTTGACAAAGTTAAAGCATGTGTGCCATCCAGTCCTGGACGCCTAAGCATTTACAGCAGTCCTTCCCCACCAGATACCCACAGTGTCACTCAGGATTCCACTGCAAATTTGCATTTAGATGCCTCACTGACCTCAGATTTATCAAAACATTTGAATACACAAACACCCCATTCACTATCAGTGGAATCAAAGATCTCAGGTTCTAGCCTCTGCACATCGGATACAGTGTCAGCCTCAATTATAAACAAAGAAAGGGTTTTAGAGTGCAGAACTCATTCAAATCCCCATGCTACCTCCTTGCTTAAGAAGTCCTCTGGACTAAAAGTCGGTGATTATTCAGACTGTCCTAAACTTCAAAGCAGACCAAACACTACTGCTCCCAGACTGAAGGGCCTAAGTATTAAGAGTAAGAACAAACCACAGGAAGAGCCTCTCCAAACACCTACCAGGAGTGAAAGTCCAGTTCCTTCAAACACCAATGCTTCCATGGAACAGTCAACAAAATCACCACCAACTGCAACCATGTCACGCTTTTTGAAGACCAATAACCAGCCTGATATGAAAAGAAGTCATGCTTTGCCCAAAGTAAGTGACAGAAGGCAAGTTACCAGTGAGCATGGACCATCAGGAGACACATTACAGACTGCACAACTGGCCCTGGAGAAAGATATTCATTTAGGCACCATAACACGCCGATCACACCAACCTGCCACTCAGAGAACATTTATAGAAGTTCAGCTGTCTTCTTTATCTGGTTCATCATCACTAGTTAAAGCACAGAATAAAAAAGTTAATTCAAAAGACTCTAAACCCACTAAAAGAGGCAAAGATGCAGGATTAGTGCCTACTCTTTCTTCTGACTCCACAGTAGAAAAAACTAATGGCATGGCTAGTAACACAGTATTTAGTTTGATAGGTTCTACTAAAGAAACTCATTCAGCCATTAGTAATGGCTCAAAACCCAGTACTATTGTAGAGACACGTGAGACCCTAAAGTCCAGCACATCCAGATCACACATAAAGACAATGGAAAGGCGAAGCTTCTCCACAGACACTGCCTTGTCTACTAACTACAATCCCTTCTCTGTCCGGCATAAGATAAAGTCATTTGAAAACCTGGCTAACTTTGACAAGCCTGTGGCTAAAAGCAGTGACATTCAGTCCTATGCTCTGGCATATAGAGCATCTCTTAACCAAAGGATAGCTGGTTATATGGGCTTGGTTAATTCTGTTGACTGCCAGGCACGACAAAAGAGTTTTAGTTCTTATGTGGAGAATCTAATCCCTACCACACCCTGTTCACCTCGTCTTGGCAAATCTCCATCTAGCATAGCACTGATAAACCTTGAGCTTCCACATTCAAGTTGTAACAGGACTCCTCTGACTGAGGACAGTCCTGTGGCTGAAGTTGAAAAAGCCCCAGATGTGTTCTCACCACAGACCCCTCAGGTGCTGCGGAGGAAACACAGCAAACTTCCCCGCAGCAGGTTGCGACAGCTCAGGGCTCTCAGTATGCCTGAATTGGAAAAACTATGCACAGACGATTTTACCACAGGGCATGGTACAGCCGCAGATAAAACTGAGCCTGGCATCCATCCCACTATACACTATACTAAAACCGCGGTCACTGAGAGCTTTCCACCTTCTGCGACCCTGACTAAAGTGGATGTGAACCAAGGTGATCTTGGGTCCACTGAAGAGACTTCTCAAGGAACCCCAGAGACCCATGAACAACAGGCTGGCTGGTCTATCAGGTGCGGCTTTAAATTAAAACCTGCTCATTTCAAATTAGAAATTAGTTAGTTCCGCTTCCCTGGCATTGGCATTGAAAATGGCGGACTTAGGCACCCCCAGTGGTTGTATTAAGACACCGCTGCAGGCTGCAATGAAGCTACAATAGATCAATAGAGGAACTCTTGGGGGAATTAATTCATAATATCTTAATAATATTGTGGTCATATCATGATATGATCATTTACAGGTCATATCATTAGAAAAAAAGTCATAACATAGTGAGAATTTAGGCATAATATGGTTTATTTATTTTTATTTTTTATGGTTTATTAGGACTGATAGAGACTTAAAACGTTTTTACATTTATTAATTTGTCAGGTCTTTTATCCAAATGAGGTTCAATCCAAGCCATATTAGCTCTTGAAATTCCAAACAGATATCAATAGCAAACCAACATCAAATAGTAGTCTTGTTTGAAATGGTAAACACAGGAAATAAATACAGTAAATGTCTTCAATGTGACTTATTTTTTTCTACAGTTTAAATGAGCTGGCCACTTCTCCTGTGAGTCAGTGCAAACTGCAAACACTGCTGTCCTCCCTGACCACTAAATCACATGTGTTGGCACAGCTTCAGGAGGACAAGGCACTTTCAGAGGTAACGACATACTGCTCATACATATATAATACAATATATGATATATTGGCAAAACCTACTTCACATATGATTTAACTGTAGACTATATTGTATATAAATCCTACTCGCTGTATGAATTTTTCACATTGACTCTCTCCAGGTTAACAATAATACTCGCCTTGTTGTCCTGAGTAAAGAAGAAGGCTCAGGACTTGGTTTTAGTATTGCTGGCGGAGTTGACCTTGAGCAGAAGGCAATAACAGTAAGTACAGTATGTAAAGCTGGACATCATTTGGAGTTGAATGATCTGTCTTTCATGATAATAATATAATTGATAATAATAACAAAGGCGGAAATGTTCAAAAACAGCCTACATATTAATTTGTTTGTAAAAATAAATATGGCGTCTGATGACCCCTAAAGGTTTTTTTTTTTTTTTTTATCCAACGTCACCAGGGGGGCTCCTTAGGTTTTGTTGCAGTAGTCCAAACATAAACTGGTGTTATGGCCATTTCTGTTGAAGATTCATAGTGTCAGTACATAGTAATTAGATCACTATATATACCATAAAACCTGGGTCCTTATTTGCTTTAATCACTGAACTCAACCTGCCTTTATCTGGAACAGGCGTCTATATGAGACAGCCAATAATTCCTTTTGGACAAAACAGATCACAAATAAATCAAATTGTTTTTTCAAACTAATAGTAAAATGAAAGATTAACACATCAATTATGAATAATTTGTTTGATGATTTAATACTTGACTGGATTGAACTTGTACATTTTGCCTGTACTTTTGCAGTTTTTAAATTTGTGATATTTTGTCCTTACTGCAGTTTTATTACCCTGTAAAAGCACATTGGATTTCTCTGGTGTATAAAATGTGCCATACAAATAAAGTTGTCTTGCCTTGCCTCATGTGTCCAGGTTCATCGAGTCTTCACCAAAGGTGCAGCTAGCCTGGAAGGCACAATCCAGAGAGGTGACAGCATTTTATGCATAAATGGCATAAGTCTGGAGGGTAAAACCCACGGAGAGGCTGTGTCTTGCCTTCACCAAGCCAGGCTGTCTAATCAGGCCTTAGTAGTCATTTGGAGAGACAAGGACAGTGAACTGAGTGTCTCTGACAGACATGACCCGGCTACTCAGCCAGAGAGGATGTGTTTTGCCAGGAACAAGTCTTTGAAGGCTGCATCAGGTAAGATATAGGCCAACATCTGTGTCAATAAAGACAAACCTGCTTCATGAGAGTTAAGTACTTTTTTCCCCACTGCTGCTCTTTGTTAACATTAACCTGTTATATAACATTGTGTACTTGTCACAGATAACACTCTGATATACTTGTCCTGTCAGTCCACCAGTCCAGCTCCTGTAAACCACTTCACTGTTATAAATATAAATTACATGCATCAAATGGCCCATTATAAGCAACCCTTGCAGCAGAAGAAAGTTAACTTCAATAGTAAGCAGTAGCAACTCGTCATAAAGCACCTATGTTAATATTTCAGCTCTGTAATTCTGGGTGTTGAATATTTTTCAGTGGTGGATGTGTATCCAGACGGTGCTTTAACAGTGGAGCTTCACAAGTCCTCGGCTGGCCTAGGCTTCAGTCTGGAGGGAGGAAAGTCCTTGAGCCACGGAGACAGGCCTCTCATTGTCAAACGCATCTTTAAAGGTGACCTTTTTTCTATAAGTCTCTCAGAAGGTACATGTTAAAGCTAAATATTGATCTACAATTGAATTAAGTGACATTGTAATCTTGTGTTCCCAGTGGTTCCCAACCTGTTGTGAGTTGGTGTTCAGTTCAGAGTTTATCTGATCCTCCAAATTATTTTAAGGAGAGATCTTGATTTTTGAAACCATCCACCTCTCATTCCCACACACTTTTTTCCACTGGAAGCGCACAACTACAGCAGAGGTTGACTGTGCTAAGGCAACAAAATCTAATGATGGTACAGAATACAGTTTATCTTTATGAATTATGTTGATGATGGATTGGCAAGAAAACTGTCGACAAATGACAGCCTTTAGCTTGTATTTCTAGAGTAATGTGGTTTTATGGACACGTTAAGAATAGTTAAAATGCCATATTTCTTAAAGGGAGTTTGGTGCATGTAACGTCAGGTGAATTCATACTGCTAATGTGTATAGTTTTTTACATTTTAACACCACTACAAAAACACAAGGTAACTATTTAAGTATGATAATGCTATCTGACGTTGACTGCTGTTAGTTATTAGTTTGATTAATGGTTTCATAATGTGTGTATTGATTACTGATGCTAGCCGATCAGGATAATTAACAGCTTACTTTACTTTCTAATGGTAAAGCTTCACTGGGTTCACAAGGCTTTCCTGATTTTATGGGGTGTAAGAAATATATTCACAGCCCTTTATCCCAGCATTCATTTCTGTGAAGAGAACTAAATTAAATTGTAGTTTTGTAGTTTAGATTATTCTTTAAGAACTAAACTTTGAAGACCTGAACACAAGCATTAAATAGCCCACAAGCTATATTCACGGAGTCTTCAGGGGCAAATTCCCTTCATGTTTCATTTGAACACACTTTCAGGCTTTCACTTTCCAGTAGCTTGCCCTTAAAGCAGTGTGTGGCTTTCCCAACATTTCCTCTCTCCAACAGGAGGTGCTGCAGAGCTGTCAGGGCTTATTGAAGTTGGCGATGAGGTCCTGTCTATCAATGGCTTTTCTCTGGAGGGCCTCATGCACCATGATGCCTGGAAAATCATTAAAGCCACTAACGAAGGGCCCAACCACCTCCTCATCCGGAAGCCCAGTACCTGACTGTAGTGAATGAGGAAACACTTTTTCTATATTTTCTGATGGGAGATTTTGTGTTTTGTCTTGTTACATGTGTTTGTGCTTATAAATAGGTCAAATTGGATGGACCACTAACTATTGTGATATACAATGTAGGGCTGCAACTAATGATTATTTTTTATTATTGATTAATCTGTCGATCATTTTCTTGATTGATTAGTTGTTTGGTCCATCAAATGTCAGAAAATTGTAAAGAAATGTCCAAGGTGATATTCAGTTTGCTGTCGGACTAAAGAAGCCAGAAGATATTCACATTTCAGCTGAAATCAGAGAATTCTGAAATTCTTTCTTAAAAAATTACTCAAAACGATTATTTGATTATGAAAATAGCTACCGATTAATTTAATAGTTGAGAAATAATTGATTAATTGATAAACTGTTGCAGTTCTAATATAATGCTGAATTTTGATACATTTCACATGGGAAGTGCAGTTTGTTTGCATACTAAGAAGACAATATGGTTGTCATTTTTTTAAAAATAAAGTCAGTTTGTGAAAAGATCTGGTCTGGTTATTGCACTTATGCCAACTTCACTTGTGAGATAAAAATTGTTAACCACAAATGGGGGGAGGAGCTCAAAGTATTAGGTTCAGCATTTGTGCATTGTAAGCATGTCATTGACTGTTTATCCAGTCTCAAGGGTCCGTGTATCTTTTGGTCATTGGATTTTCCTTTCAGAAACGGGTATTGACAGAAAACGAGTGGTTATTTGATTTTGCTTTTAAAATACAAAAATTCAAATTAAAATACAAGGCGTTTTCTTTTTCATGGTCAAAAAGGGATGAGCGCCTTGTATTTTAATTTGAATTTTTGTATTTTAAAACCAAAATCAAATAACCACTCGTTTTCTGTTTTTTAATACCCGTTTCTGAAAGGAAAATCCAATGACCAAAACATACAACCTTTTTAACTCTAGATTCGGCTCGCAGCCCCTCCGTGACGTCCTTTGTCTGCCCAACAGAGTGGGCGAAACAGTGATTGTTAAGGTGGAACTGCCTTATTCTGTATTTTTAGCTGTTTTAATGAGCAGGTCCGTTTGTTCTGGAGAGGAGGAGACCTCTGTGGATAATTGGGCTCCCAATAGAAACCCTACGGTGGCCGACAAGGGCAAATGCGCCGCAAACGGGCAAACGCTGCAAACACGGGAATGATGCAAATTGAAAAACACACAAACACATAAAAACAAATGCAACAGAAAAATGCTGCAATCACAGAAACAGAGCAGAAGCACAAACTTACAAACCCACAAAACAAATGCCAAAGAAAAATGCTGCAAATACCAAAAACACATAAAACCCCCAAACAACTCCAAGAGATAAACGCTGCAAATTCACTCGACAAAACGGCAGTGCGCCAGGCCACTAGGGGGATCCAACCTGAGGGATGGACCAGTCCTCTAGGACCAGACCCGAAAGACATGAAGAAGAAGAAGAAGAAAGTTGGCAAAGTTTTGGAGAGGAGCATAAAAAGATAAGTTTTCCTTTATGTCTTTTTTAAACACTTGGCCGTAATCTTTTATATTATATAATATTATAATAATATTATATTATAGAAGAATATTCTTCTATAATAGAAGAATTATTATAATATTCTTCGATAATATTCTAAGAATATATAATATATATATAATAAGAATATTCTTCGATAATATTCTATTATCGAATAATATTATAATAATTCTCCTATTATAGAAGAATATTCTTCTATAATATAATATTATAATAATAATATTATATAATATAATATTATAATAATATTATATAATATAAAAGATGGTGGTGACAATAACTCCCATGATCCCAAGTCAAACTTTAAGTAATTCAATATTACTTAAAGCTTACATTAGAGCTCCTTACGGGTCCACTCAGCTCCTTGTGACTAGTCCAGGGGATGAGTCTGGTCTGGTAGGGTCCTGTTGTGTTACTGCAGATCTCTGGTCCACCTGAATGAATCCCAGTGGACTTTCTCTCAGCTCTGTCACACACATTTTGGCTCAGGGATAGTAGCTCAGGGTAAAAGTTTGGTCTTAAATATGTAAAAACTCAAAATGTACATACTACATACTCAGTATTACAATTATGAAGAAATCATGAAAAATTCAATGAATATATTAGCTTAACTGAAAACCAAGAATTCTAGTGAGTTTAATTAATGACAAATAATAGAAAGTACCAATTAAAATGATTTTAGATATACAAAATTGCATTTGTATCATGTATCATGCGTAACGTTTTATATTTAGGTTGACCCTTAAGGAAAAATGGAAGCAATAAAGTGGTCCTTATTTATTATATTATTATTATAACAGTCAGGAGTAGCATTCTAGACTTAACTAAAAGTTGCTTTTAGCTTTTTAATGTCTTACTTTTTACATTATGTAAGAAAGGTATAAAGAAAATCATATGTGGAAGAAATGACTGAATATCATGAGCGCCAGAGGCTTGAGACTTTCGACTTTCGAATGTTCATTATGAGGAACTCATTTTTTAACCTAAAAGGAAAGAACCTAGAATTTAATATTTTGGAATGAGGGATTCCCCTTAACCAGGGCTAACCAAATCAAGTCAAGGATCCCCACAATAGATGCACTTTAGACCACAGAAACTTTAAATACCACCAGTGCACATACACTGAGAATGGACTTCACAGTGAAGTAGGAGACAGCTTGTGTCCAGCAGGAAAACTTTAGAAATGAACAAAAGTTGCATATTCATTGATTTGGTAGGAGTAGGTACCTACGGAAATTATACCTTTTGGGGGGGGGACACGTATCAGCACACAGTATTGTTCCAAGCAGACTATTTATATATGTCGTAAAACATATCTGGAGGTGATCTTTAAGGAACTTTGTCTGAGAAGTTTTTATTTTTATTTTTAGGTTTGAAGGTAAAAACTTCTTCATTGTCAATTAATAATGAAACTAGGATCATTATAAAATACAATCAATCACAGTTAACTCTAGTTCTTCCCCTTGTTATTCCAACTTCCAAAAATGTAATAAAAGTTAAAATGCCCTAGTAGCTCACCTGGTAGACCTGGCGCCCCATGTACCATGGCCAGGGGCTCAAGTCTGACCTGTAGCCCCACAAATATGTTCCTCCTTTTGTTTGATGCTATTCCAAAAGGTGTTTTACAGATTCTGAAAAACTCTCATGATGATGATTGAACTCAGTCATCAGATTGCTGAAAGTTGTTGTCATTGATAAGTTATATGTCCTAAGTAAAAAATGTAACAATAAATAAATCCAGAATACTCTTCTAGAGGATTCCCCCAATGCAAATGTTCTGGTCTTATGGTGATATGAATTGGAAGAAGGCATGTGGAATATCAGAAAAAGTTTGACATAAAACATATCCTGTAAAGCAAACTGAAGCTGAATAATCATTATTCTTGTGATTTTTGTGGTCTAAACAAAACAGTTTCTCACTTATTTTTACATTGTATATTCCAAAATATTTGAATTTATATGCAAAACTTTCTATCTAGAAAAAAAAGGTAAAATGGTCATGCCCAATAGTGATATTATACTTTATTTTGAAAATAACTCAATGGACAAAAATGTTAGCTTTTTAATCCACCTGTTTCAATGTATATTTGGCCTATTTTGTTTCCTTTTTCTGCTCTCGAGACCTGTTTATATGTTACGGTTGACCTTTATAGTGCTGGCCCCTGCTTTGCTGTCGTCCAGCTGAAAATGGTGAAAAAGACATGGTGCCAGTGCAAAAACTGACCAGCAGATGTCAGTACAAGCAAATACTCAGGTTAGGAACAACCAATGTCTGATGACACAGACAGGAAAGTCACTGTTGGGACGTACCTAGATTGTATGATTTACAATGTGTAACAGTAAAAATGAAAAACCTGAGACCTTAAAGCTCCCCTCTGCTAAAAACTCAAACGTTCATCTTGTTCTTACAGTGTGATGTTTGAATGATGTACGTGCAGAGTTTGACACTAGAAGGATGTTTTTACATTTATCTGCTGAAAGTGGAAAGTTTCTCTGTGCTCATTGAAAATCTGATTTTAAGCGGCAGAGCCTACCAGCAAATCTGTGACATCACAAATAGTTTGGAAGTCCATCCAACTTGTACAGTGTGATGTAGAAACTTGAAGCCACCAGTACACATACACTGATAATGGACTTTACACTGAGGTAGGAGACATCTTGTGTCCAGCAGGAAAAAATAAACAAAATGTGCATATTTAGAGATTCTGGAAGTTTTAATGATGTAGAAGGAGTGGATGACTTTTTAAGGATTTAAATGTGGAAATTGTAATTTTTTGTGGAAAAAGGAGGGAATCTTTAAGCTTTTAAATAAAACTTGCTTTAAAGATGCAAATATCACATTTCTACAGTGTTACAATATAGGCAGTGACTACAACCACATGTCTACTTGATAGAAAAAAAGTAGGGTATAATATATAGAACAGATAATGTTTCTGCTGCAGTTTTAAAAGTTGAAGACTGCATGTTGAGATAACTTCAAAGCTGCAACCTCATGTCGGTTCCATTTTCATTTTGCCTAAAATTTTCAGCCCCTCACAACTAGGTGTAAATATAGTTTCAATGCTGAAATGTTTGCTGAGTTATGGAGTTGGCTGTACTTTGACAATAAAGTCCATATAGCGTAAATGCACACTGCACTCAGTATAAAAAATGGATAGTAATTATGCTAGAAAAGAAAAAGAAATAAACATGAGTGGCCAGACAAACAACAGCAGTTTGTACAGAGGACTCTAAAAGCCACAAACAGAGCAGAGCCTACAGGTATTGTGCAGCAGGATGTTGTCTCATGTCCTGGAAAATTCTCTAGCAATGATCAGACTAAGTTGCCACAGACTAAACTAAATACACAGCTACAAAATGTCATTACATGACAAGGTGTTGAGTTCAGCTTAATGACCATAATTGCAGAATATCTCCAAGTTGTGCTCATTGGTGTAATTTGGACATTTCAGATAAAGATAGCACAGAATTGTGCTTCACAGTCAGTATAATACTTCACCTTTTCATGTAATGATTTTAATGTTTTTAAGTGTAATGAGAGCTGTGAAAAACATTGGCATGTACGTCAGCAAATTCCACTCCACTTGCCAGCAAACAAAATGTGTCTTCTGAGAGACTTGGTAGGTGAGTCATTAGTGACACATGTTAATGAGCCACGATAAGTGCAAGGCTGCTATTTGAGTAGAGGATGTGAGCTGGGGTTTATGTTATATTTTTATTCTGGAATTGCACACAGGTCAGTCACTGTAAGATTGAACCTCTGTGCTGTATAGACACATTGCTGTGTTTCGTGTTCTCCATAAAACTCAAAATTCCCTATAAAGTGAGAACATGGTTCAAGGCTTACAAAGAGAGCAGTGGTGGTATGTAACTATGTACAGTTGCTCACTTACTGTACATGGGTACAGTCATGACATACTACTTATCATTTGATGTAAATATATATACTTTTACTCCACTACATTTATTTAACAACTGTATTTTCTAGCTAATTTGAATATTCAGATTTACACACAAAACAACCTATAAAAGAGGCCACAAGGCATAGTTACCTTACAAAATTCACTTGTCGCATTAGAGCACCAGCACCTCAGACCAACAATGGTAAATTACAAAACTCACCAAAACTGAATCTTTTAGTCTTTTGATTCAGTTCAGTTTGATTCAATTCAATTAAATTAAATTCAATTTAATTCAGTATTCTTTACTGGCATGAGTGTAACAACGACAATATTGTCAAAGAAATTATAGATTAAAAAGAAAAGAACTGAACACTTGCTTTCTGTGTGTGTCTTTTTGTGAGATTGTGGAAGTGTGTGTTGAAGTTGTTAGTCGTGTGTGTGTTAAAGTTGATGTACGTGTATGTACACACTAGATTGGAATCAACAATCTAGAACTCTACATGATACAGACTGATAAAGAGTTCTAGGTTGATTCCATTGACTCAACATTTAATTCTTTCTGCAGACTTCACACACTCTTCAATCTGAACACACTGTTAATTTTTGTCTTGAAGATCAACTGTGTTTAACTACTCTTGAGTGTATCGTTGAACTGTTGCTTTGTCCGTTAGACCTGTACTATATTTTGATACACTGCAAGAAAATGTAAACTGTAGACTGTAAACATTCTCAGATGGAGTTAAACATCTGAATAACAAACTAATAATATTATCTTTTTTTTTCTTTACAGGTGTTGTTTGACAAGCCCATATATGCACAGGCTTTGCAGGTCTGCTGGTACATCGGCTTCTACAAGTCTCAGTCAAAGAGAAGACCCACTATTGTTTTCATGTCTACACCAAAATAAAATAGCAGGCCAAGTCTCATAAATTGTGTCTTATACTTTTTAACATAAATCAGCCAGTACAGGAAGTCACAAACCTTTTTGGGGTCTAAAATGTCTGATTTCACAGCAGCTCTTCTAAAAATATTGCGATGCATGTTGCAATGTTTGGTTGCAATATTTTTGCAATGAAATTGCAAGAGAAAGTCAAATTCATTAAAATTGAAGGCAGCTTGTTCCAGTGAGAATACAGTTTCCAGTAGTTTGGTGATGTGCAGCTCAATATTTGTGGAGGGAACTACTATGATTGGTGAAACTGCAATTATTGGTAACATTTGTGGAAAAGTTGTGTGTACAAAATTGCAAGGTTGTGCAGAATTCATGGAGATGACTGAATGGCTGAATTTGCATTAAGTATTGCAATTGCAACATTGCAACTTCATGGAGGGACTGATAAAGTCATGTGATCCCTTGTATGTTGTTAAGATCACACAAGAGTCTGAACTTTTGAGGCTTCAGCAGAAAAAACAGTTACCATCTGAGGTGACTGCTGAAGATATGAGTGATCTGCTGGTGGAGGAGAGCACTGACACACACACAGTGCAGTACTACACTTGGGGGATGTTTCACAAAAGCAGAATTAAGAAATGCAGGATAACAAAAAAATCAAGGCTTGACCTAGCCTAGTCAGTGCAACCTGGCTTAACAGGATTCACAAAGGCTAAGCCAGGCTGAGGAGGTGCAGCTAAGTAAAACCAACTGAACTCAAAAACATTATTGCGGCACATTACTAAAGCACTGAATACAAATATCTAAAGGTTACATTAGAAATCAATAAAAATTAACATCCAAATCACTTTCCAAATCTTCAGACATTTTTCATGTCTTTTTTCATTGAACCTAAGCCTTTCACTGAGTCTAAAATGTGTCCATAACAGATCATTAATTTAATTGTGTTAAATTATGCTTACATTATTTTAAAATTGTATCTAAATTAATGCATTTGACAACAAACTGGGGTGGCAGCTGGATTGGCCAGGCGCCCCAGTGCCAACCCCTCTAAATCAGACTTTTGCCAGCAACCTGTTACATGTGCAACATGAATAAATACATCTTTGAAAAGTATTCTGTATTCTCTGTATTCTGTTAATTGTTTGCAATAATTCCCACTAACTATACGAACTGTGCAGTGTTGAAGTGGCTCATTGTAAACTCGGCTGCAGTGTAGCTTTAAGAAGGAGGTGGGCAGCGCTCCGATGACGCAGGAATAATCCTGAAAAGATGCTTCAAAACTCCAGGCCGGAGCCAGCGTGTGTGGTGGCTGCTGGCTGAGCTGGAGGAATCGCCGAGCCAGGCTAGATCAACTGTTGAGAGAATATTTAGAGCAGGTTCAGGAGCCTTCGGAGGAACTCTCAATGTAGAATAAAACTCACACATTTAGGCTGATTCGCTTCTTAAATAGATTAATAGAGTTATTTACACTCAAGCCATTTAGTCACAGCGGAGGGCTTTCTGTTTGCAGCTCTGTGCGCACTGCCAAGTGGAGCCAACTTGGGGAAAGAAACATTTGAAGAACATCTCTCCAACACTTTGATTTATCTGAAGTGGGGCTTGGAAAATCGCATCATGTCATATTTCAGCACACTGTGTGTGTACTTTTTGATGGTCCTCAACCCAATTATGACAAATACCATCACCGAGGACATAGATGTTTTGGTCTTTTTGCCACAGAATAACTCCTACCTTTTTTCACACACGAGAGTCGCACCGGCGATCATTTACGCACAGCAGAGGCTGCAGGCGGACGGAGGACGCTACTCTGGGTTCCAATTCAACATCCAGTTTGAGAACTCCGACTTTGTCAATGGTGCTCTGTACATGTTGGTGGACAGGTCGTGTGGGAATAAGCCGGATTTGATTCTGGGTCCGGTGTGCGAGTACGAGGCGGCAGCGGTGGTGAGGTTGGCGTCCCACTGGAACATCCCCGTGATCTCAGCAGGTGCCCTGGCCGTCGGCTTCAGCAATAAGAACGCCGAGTACTCCCACCTGACCCGCATCGCTCCGTCCTACGTGAAAATGGCAGAGACCTTCAGCGCGATGTTCGAACACTTCACCTGGAAAAGCGCACTACTGGTCTACGAAGACGACAAGGAGGAGCGGAACTGTTACTTCACTTTGGAGGGAGTCTATCATCTGATGGCTGACTTTAACATAAAAACATATGCTTTTTCCCACGAGGACCGCCTGGACACTGATGACATCTTCCAGAACATGTATGACACTGAAGGTAAATGCAGGTTTTTTCTTTTCTTTGTGGCCTCAATGAATTGCATAGTTTATATATAAACTACTTATAATATATCATACTCATAGTAAGTCATGTATCCTCCTACTGACTAATAAACTACTGCAAGAATCAATTATTGTTAACTTATTCCTCCTCAAAACATAATGAATTATGTAATTAATGTAATCTGAATGAAAACCAAACTATTTTTGGAAAAAGTTACAATTAATTTGCAAATTGTGTAAAACTAAAATAAACAGAGCAGATGAGAGAATTTGTCTCACAATTTAATCACAAACAATCACATATGACAGGAACAAACTGATTTCAAACTGAAATTTAAGCAACAGAATAAAGCCCCAGTGACATATGACAAAAAGTACACAGTATGCAGGTAGGTACCCCAGTCGGTAAGTCAGTTTTAATACCTTTAAAAGACAACAATCCCTTGATTCGTGTAGGAGGGGCTGACACCGAGAAGAACACTGCTGATGGGCATCCACGTTTTTATTTGTCCTCTCTCCACTCGCACCCTTCATCACTTAGACAGACTTATGTAACATCCTGCGTGCTGCTGACATGGATCATCATCTCGTCATCTCATGTCTACAGACTGCATGGATGAGCCACATGGGTCAGTTGCTTGAAAATGTTTAGAGGACTTTGGAACTGGCAGACAAAGAGCAAGTTAACAAAATGGGACGCCCTCTGTGTGACTTAAAGCTGTGAGTGATTAGAGGTCTAACAGTCACACTGTTTTGAGTACACTGTCATTATCCTATTCAGTGCCTAGCGCAGGACTATACATGGGACCATATAAAAATTAAGCTACTATTATCCAGTCAAAATAATTTCCAGGAATGAATATGAATGCACGTTAGTATAGGCATGGGACGATATACGATGCTATTGTTTAACAGGATAAAAACCAACATTATCGTGATAATTGTGAATATCCTCTTATGGCTTGACTTGAAAAAGCTGTCTTACTGTCCAGCATTTCCTGATTATGGATTTCCTGATTAAATTTGAAAAAGGAGCCATTTTTCCATTAATTCCAAAATCCTGTCACCATGGCTTTCATGCTGTATCCGCCACAAAAAAGTGTGTAAATATAGATATAGATTAAAGCTGCAAGCAGTGATGAACGGGCCCTCGCACTCCACGCAACTCGGGGTTAATGTTATAAAGAGTGAAAAGTGTCCTGAGATAACTTCTGTTATGAATTGGCGCTATACAAATAAAATTTAATTGAATTTAATTGCTGTGGCCCCGTCACGTGGTGGTGTAACACGTGCGGACCACAACATGAACATTTCACGTAAATCATATCAAAAATTTCACGGAAATCATATCAAAATCGCCTCGCAGCGCTTACTTCCTGTTGCCAGTAGGTGGCGCGCTCACTATATCTGAATATTGTCAGGGCGGGACTCTTATCAAACATCTGAAGTTTCATTGAGATTGGACCATGTACACTAAAGTTCTTCCTTTTTCATGGCGAATCGTCAAAATTGGACACCACGCCACGGGTACGTCATTCAACGGAATGTTGTAAATGGCAAAACTTTTAATCATGAATGTCTTTAGATTGTGCTGACTTAAATCTGAAGTTGATCTGATAAATACCCTAGGAGGAGTTTGTTCAAATACAATGTGTGCAAATCGCCGAATATGACCACAAAACACATACACATGCGTACCAATTTTCGCCAATTTTTTCGCCATGACTGAATTTTGTGCTTTCATGAGTTTTCAGGCCCGTTATTGACTGAATATTATCACATAGATGTGTTCAGGGCGGGACTCTAATCAGACAAGTCAAGTTTGGAGCCGATTGGACGATGTACACTCAAGTTATAGCAACTTTGTGTGTTCTGGCTGTACATCAAAATTTGACACTACACCACGGACACGGTCTTTAACAAAAACTCACCACAATCATGAAATACCATCAACAACATGTTTTGCATTTCCTGACCAAATTTCAGCTGGATCTGATCGTCCTGCTAGGAGTAGAACATGAAAGTATACAAAATGACATTTCCTTTCACCACTAGGTGGCGCACTCACTATTACTGAACATTATCACATATACTTTTTTTTCCATCTGGATATACGCGAGTTTTTATGCATATCGGTGAAAGGGGCCCCGGGTGGTACAGTTTATGGGCCACTGAGGGCCCATTTTGCCATGCTTATGACCCCTAGAAAATACAAAATTTTTCGCCACGACTGACATGCGCGCCGCGTTTCATGAGTTTTCGAGCACAGGAAAGCCTCAGCACCGATAAGCAGCTTGTTGGCAACCGTCCTCTGGTCATAGCTGAACACACCATTTCATATCACAGTAGTGGCTGCTGTATAAATTAGCATATATTATACATGCTAAATTCTGCAGAGCCACAAAGCAGGGGCGGAGCTAGAGGGGTGGCCGAGGTAGCACTGGCCACCCCTTGAACCTGATTGGACACCCTGGGTGCCACCAGTTGATTGACAGGTCACTGCACGAAAACAGCGAGATTTATAAACGCAAACACAGAAGGCAGAATAAACAGATAACAATGAAGAGGAAGGGAGATATTTCCAACTTTTTTGCTTAAAAAAAAAAATAAAATCAGGCACAGATCAGGCACAGTCACACCCCAGCCCAGATATCAGCAGCCTGGGAAGCTCCCATCATGAAACTAGCCAGGCAAGTCATTGATTAATTCTCATACCAATGGTGTCTTTATTTGATCTTTGAGCTGAATCTTGCATCTAGTGTCTGTGATGTGCAGCCTTCTCTTTGTTTTGCCAAGACATGACGTTTCCCATGGGCACCACGTTTCATGAGTTTTCGAGCATGTTGCCACCTCCGAAAATGTGATTCATTTGGACTTAAAATAATAATAATAACCCTTACAGATACAATAGGGCCTTTGCATGGTCATTGCTCGGGCCCTTAATATACATAAAATATGTCACTTCATCAGGGGTCAGTTTAGTCAATGATCTAAAAGGGGTACCCTAAGGAAAAAGGATGGGAACCAAATCCCTGCAGTTTACCGTTGTCCCGGACATGTCCTGATTTCCTGACAGTGGTGCTGGAGGCCAAGGTAATACTCTAGAGTAACTATATCTTTTTTGGTTTCTGTTGGGATCCTTTCCATAATATTGTAAATATTTTCACAACTAACTCAGTGAATTAAAGGTTAATACTGACCAAACCATTGTTCATGATTGATGGAAAGACAATGGAAAAATTGTTATGTTTTGTTGTGTTTTTTACAATAATCTTTGAGGTAAAATTATTGGGTTTTTTTTCAACAGAGTCTGGTGGACTGTAGTGCCCATTGGTTTTGGTCTGAGATGATGTGCTCTAGTGGAACATCTAGTACCAATGAATTTTGTTAATAACCTTGAAGTCTAAATATATGGTAAATATAGGATTATTTCACTTGGAAATATAGATTCTGAAGTGTTTGTGGTGGTATTGTATATCACTGTCGGACTTACGATGGACAGTTGATGCAACAGAACCAGACATATTAACATTTTTCCACGCATTCTTCTTCCTTGTCAAAATCTGGTGCCTACACTACCCACAATACCACTCAACTGCCAACAGTTGCTGCGGTTGCACATTCAGATGAGTTATGCAAGTAGCGGGCCACTAAGTTAGTCTTGAGCCTTTAGCCTCAAGCAAAGATGAGGAGCTGGCTACAGAGGTCTGGTAAGCTCTGCGCCCCCCTTTTTTTTAATTTTTAAACTTGACAAAGCTGACAAAAGTGACATGACTTGAGGAACACTCAATATGAACTTTGTATCCTTTACAAAACCGCCAACTTGTTTCCAGGTAAATATCAAATAACTAGCCTACACTGGAAAGCTCAAGCTCCGCATTAAAGCGGTAGAAAATAACTACTGTTCATTATTTATTGTTTATCTGGTTCAAGTGGCTAATGCTAGCTTTAGTGTGAGTCTATGTGTAATTGTTTTATAAGGCAACAATGTATACCTTCAGAAATGCATCTATGCAAACGGATGCTATTTCAATGTAATGCAAATCCGTATATGTCTTCATTATTAATATTACATTATGACTTCCACACACACATTAGTATTAGTATTGAGATTAGTATGCCACAAAGATGACAAATCAGACCACAAAAGAAGACACTACTTTTGTGTGTGTGTGTGTGTGTGTGTGTGTGTGTGTGTGTGTGTGTGTGTGTGTTTGTGTTTTCATTATTTTGATTATGGTTAAGTTGCTCTTGGCTTGGGAAACAGTAGCTTGTTTGCACATGACGTCACCTCACTGCGTTCCCGTGGCACAAACCTGCAGATGGAGGGCAGGAAGTGATTTCTACAGTGGAAGCACTATTGCAAACTTGAGCAACGCAAAAGAAATTGACAGAAAAATGCAGGAAAAAACAGTTTTAAGTACCTATGTGGACGGGGCAGCAGTAAAAGATAACCTATATAAAAAAAAATCTATATCTATATATATTTCACCACTTTACCTTGTCATCAGACAGCCTTTTCTGATGGGGAACTGAAGTTGTTATATGGCTCTCTTCAAAGCCAGCAGACTCAGATCCCCAGACATTTGACAAAATCATCATCACCATCACTGTTTACATTTATGATGTCTTATTTATTCTCCTGTACAGCACAACAACAAATAAAGTTGGATTGGATTGGATTGGAAAAACAGTTGTTTTACCTGGTAGAACCTGGGAGTTTCTGGTTTACCGCTGGCTCGATCCACAACAACTAACGCTATTTTGGTCACACAATAACACAAACTAACCGATGTTGGCAGACCAGCAACCCCTGTGTTCTGCGAGGTAAAATTACTGTCTTTATCAAAGGAGTCTGGTGGCTTTGAAGAGAGCTACAGAGCGACGTCAGTTCCCCATCGAAATGGCAAGTCTTTTAGTTGAGTTGAAAAATTGCTCCTCTAAATCACGTTCAACAGATGTTGTGATTGTACCTTTCTTGTTTAAACTAGCACA